TCATGTACATAGCTATTTAAAGTCTGTAATAAATAAATAGGGTAAAAGCATAATTTTATTGTCTTTATTTTAATAATAGTCCATCGTAAAAAACCTGAAAAGGGCATTGTAGGGGTGTTAATACCTTTCCCATACGTAACTAACTTTCTTACCCGATTCTAGTTATAATGAATAAAGTTGATTTTTCTAAACAATGTCATCTTTTTTTTTTTCCCATGTTTAAAAATATGGATGGCGACTCTACGTAACCCTTTTCCAAAACCTCTTTTCTTAAATTTTGGATTATCGGACATCGTACCTTCGTTAAGAATCCCGAGTCAGGAAAACCATTTGGTCGCTCTGAACACTTTTAACGGCAGCGACAACTACGATTCTTCCTTCACCCTCACAAGTTTCGAAACATTTAATCCTTGAGTTCATACACTCACCAAAACTCATTATTTATAATAAATTTTAACTAATAACAAAATTTTGTTCAAATAATATATTGTGTCTTAATTAATAACATTTCATTATATAATATATATATATATATGTATATAAAAGAGACCATTAATTATCTTATTTTATTTTTGAATCTAATAATTTAGATAATTATTATTATAAATAATTAAATTTGAAAAAATGAGTGGTAAAAATAAGATGAATATATAATTATACAATTAGAATAAATGAATGTTTTGTGTGTATATTAATTATGGGTGGGTAATATGCATATACGTCATCGTTTCTCCAGCTTAGAAAGTTGAGATAATTGAATGAATGCGTGGACATGTATGTATGGGTCATGTGCAAGCACTAGATCTCCTTCTGTAATAAAATAGTATGGTCAGAGATTCCATCATTGAGAGGTATATATACAAAGAGAACATGCATTGATTAATGTTGTGCTCTATCATAAGCTTTTGGAAAGTAATTTATTTTATTAAAATTAAAATGTTTTATAATTTTATTTTTGGAAAGTGATTTTATAGAAACTAAAATTGCAGAGTTTTAAATTGTAAAAATAAAAAAAGTTGTAATTCTTTTATTTGTGTCAAATAAATGTATGCATGTATGACTAATTATTGTAGATAAGTTTGTGGCATAAATATTCTTCTTCAACATTATTGTCTTTTGAAAGGCCAAGGGGGCCTGCAATGTTTTCTTTATTGTTACCCAATTCCAAGCATTCAAAACCATTCTATATTATATGTTTTATACATAATAATTCATATCACACTAATTAACTTTTCTCATCAAAAAATTTATTTATGGACATTGCACACACCTACTATTGGTTTGCAGTTTCCACCTATATTAAAAGAAATAATAAAAAACAAGAAAAGAAATTTACTTACACATATTCATATATAATCAATATTAATATCTATCTATTAATAATATTTTTTTGAACATTTTATCTAATCAAAAGATTAGTTAGGTATTCTTATTTTTTTTTATATGGAGATGCATTGAATGTTAAAATGATACATAGAGAATAAAAAAATTGGTATTTTATATAGATGTTGTTTTTGTGTCCCTCATGATTAGAAAAGGTGATGATATCAGTCTTATGGCAGATTTAACTGAAATTTGGACATATACATAACATCTTCAGAATATTGTGATATTCTCAATTATGATTTAGATTCCTAAATCTTTAAGAAGTGAGATTCAAGATTTGGTGTTTGGCTCATACCATGAAATTTATAACACAATTGTTTTCAGGTAAAGAGAATGTAAGAAAGTTTTGTATATTTATAAGGAATGCGTGTAAAAAAAAAAACTTTAAGCCTAAAAGGAATTGTGTAATATACAATTTAAAGATTATGATCACCCAAAACCAGTTAGTGTTACATTACTCAAAGCAAAAATTTAAAACTAATCAATATTATTGTAAAAAAAATAAAAGTTATTTAGGTAGAGTAAAAATATAGTTAAATATTTGTGATATTATTAATCAACCTTTCATCTTGAATGATTCAAATATAAGAGAATTTATATTTCATCACTTGATTCAAATATATATATGAATGATTATAGCTTAGAAGTATGAAAAGACCAATTTTAATAAATATCCAAATCTTATGATTGTTTTGAACATTGATGTTTGCCATTTGAACCGAAATTGGAATATAAAGAGAAAGTTATGGCAAGGATTGAAATTGAAAGGTCTCAAATTCTTTTTTTTTTTTTCTAAATACTTATATAAGTTATGTACAATATCAAATCTCAAGTTATGTACATTTTTTTTTCTTTATTTATTGAGATTGAGTGAATTTAATTTCACATATTAGAGCCTACTATTAATTGAAATTCAATTGAGATTTTGTAATAAGTTGTAAGAATAGATAGTTTGTTGCAGGGGGTTGAAAGTGAATGTGTGAATGGATTGTATAATTGTTGCAGAGTGTTGTGGATTGTATGACATAGCCATGTTGAGATGTGTGTTGTTGTATAATTGTTTGGAGAAGAGGAGGGACATGATAATCTGAATCTCATACCTTGTCTTGCACCATCATATTTTGAATATAAACATAGCCACAGAATAGCAGAAACAGATTGAAACAAAATCATTGGTTGAGTGACTCAAATTTGATGGGATATGTTGCCACCATTTGCATTTTCTCTTTCTATTTCACTTTCCTCTTTTTTATAAAATAAATGGAATTTAAAGACCAAGGTTTTACATTATACTCATCAATAAATAATAAATATATAAATTAACCTTACCATATTGGTTATAATGATAAACAAACAAACATTTTCAAGATATGTAATAACACAGGGAAAATGGATAATTTAAGATCTTTAACTTAAAAGAATTAACTAACTTCACTAAATATTTAAATAGGTTCATGTCACTGTAATTTCCAAAAATCAGATTATTTTAATCAATGCTTTAATTTTATTTTTTTTCTTCTTTACGAATTGATTTAGGAAGTATTGTCCTCTTCCCGTGCAAACAAAATATTCAAAAATTATTTTATTTTATTTAAGAATAAGAGAGTACGAAATGATTTTTAATAAGAAAAACTTGTTTTTGCAACACAATTTCTTAACCAAACCTAATTAATTCTCTCAAGCTACGCACTCATTTGTTGCAAATTTAAAATAATTTAACTTGAATTCATCAATCAACAAAACCTCTCAATTAGTTTTGATATAAGAAAAATCCTTTAAATTTTTAGATATTACTATGACAGTTAAAATCACCATTCTACTAATTAAGTGAATACGGAAACGGCTAAATGTTAAATTTTGATTGTGCTCAAAATATTAACATTGTTCATCCGTAACAGAGAAAGATAAAATTCAACCAAATTTAAAAATGAAAAAACTAAATTAAAATTTAAAAAATAAATTACAATATTGATATATATATATATATATATATATATATATATATATATATATATATACATTGTAATTTAACCTATAAATATTTAAATAATTGGAAATGTGTTCACAAAATCTACCTTAAAATTTAGATTTATAAGATTTAATGAAAACATATATCATTGCATAAATAAGGAGAAAGAGTTAGAAGTCTTTAATTAACAAAAAGACTGAGGAATAAAATATCTTGTCACTCAGAGAAAGAGATTGTGAACTATCTACATGATAGAAAGTTGAAATGGATTTTTTGTCTATTCATCTTTTAGGTCTTCAGTTTTGCATATTGTTTGTTATGGGAATTAAACTTGACCTCTGTTGGTTGAAAACTTTGATTGTACTCCCCTTGAGTCATGTAATAGTATAATCAATTCTGAAAATTGCATGATTTAAGTTGTTGTATATGAGAAATCAAATCTTCATTATTTGTTCTTGTAATTTAAAATCTATTTTACACGTCATGATAACATGTTCTTTCAAATAATTTAAATATACTACTACACCAAGTCGGTGTTAATATATATAACCAGCATTACATAAAATTAGAGTTGAGAGTTAAAATTTATATAATTCGCACTATAAGAGCAAATACATTAAATTTTACGGTTTTTTTAATAATAACAACCTTCAAAATATAATTTAAAAAACATATATGCTAGTATTTAACATAACTAGTATAGAAACAAACCTTACAAAAAAAATTACTATAATCTATGTAATATCATAATGAAAATTGTTTATGATAGTAGCATTTAAAAAGTGTTAGTAATAATAAGTCGTGTTGAAAATATTTCTAAGATAAGTTGAAGAAGTATGTAGAGTAAAAAAACTCTTATATTTAAGTCTTATTAAAAATGTGAATTAAGATATATTGAAGAAGTATTTGAAGTAAAATAAACTAAAAAAAAAAATTGCATGGTAGGAGGCATGACTATATATAATTTCCTTTCTTTCTAGTTTTATCCTGTGGATGGGATGGAGGTTCGATTTTCCTTCTTCCTTTGACATGAACTGCTGAATTAGTTTTAAACTGATTTATTTGACCAGTAAGTGTTTCCTGGTTTATGTGTGATGAATGATAGGTTGCATCCTTAGCAACCTACCCTATTTTTTTTTCAAGTTAAAAAAGAATAGTAAGTATATTAAGAACCCATCTATGGAAGTCGTTTTCAAATTTCTATCAGGTATTAAGAACCCACAAAGAGGTGGTCTCTGGAGTGCAGAAAGAGAAAAGGAGTACGTAAAACCGTACATGGCACTAAATCCTTAAGGAACCTGCTACTGATCATGGATCATGAATATAACTTCAGAGAATCCAGACACATTCTTACTAAAATTCTTCCCGTCGACACTCAAATTGGCACTGTAAGTTTGCAAAAGGTCATTTTAGTACATCAGTATGCTTTCTGAAACTTCTTTTTCCCTTCATATTCTAGGCACCCACACTTATGTACAAAGGCAATATTAACCCCATGAATTAGTTTGTCCCAAATTTACAATCCCCTATTGAGAATTAACACCCTGAAATTTGGATATAAAACAGTAGCCAAGAACCTCTGCTCACCAATGCTTCAACATGCAGTAAGATATTCATGACTATCAAGTCATGTTCGAATTCTCTCTCACTTCGGTTCTATTTTATTCTCTGAACTTTTATCGGCTTCAGGTGGTGGTTGAGTAGACGACTGGGGCTGGTTCGTGACAGAAACATTTGGGCTTGAAGGTGTTTTGAACTGAATCAAGATCATGGTCATGTTATCACATCCCTCACCACCAGCTGTTGGTGCCAAGCACCTATCAAATACTTTCTCACAAACCGCAGAAAGTTTATTCTCCTGCACATTCACGATTTTTTTTTTTTTTTATAAATGATACCATCAGTTTTTCAATTACAATAATGTGAATTCCGTAATCAAATTGTTTTTTTATCTGTAAGTAGAAGGTAGCCATAAAAACCTACTGTCTTTAACTGTTGATGTATAAAGTCCACAAGCTGTTGGCTAGACATACAATCCCTGCACAGAGGGGTTATATAAAAAGTAGATCCGTGAGAAATACAAAATTAAAAAGAAAAAAAGGAATTTTTGCCACCTATATAAATTTGGTAATAGCAATGATGTTCGTAGAGGAAATTTAAGTAACCAAGTAACCTACCATATTCCGTCACAAGCAATTACAAGAAACTCATCATCATCACAAAGCTCAACCTGTTAAAAAGAATTTACGCATAAATTTGAAATGGAGCACAAAAGTAGAAAACAACAGTACAAAAGAACATTTAACTTATCACACCATTCCCTTGTTTGTATGGGGGTAAAATGAAGTGGAAAGAAACAATAGTAAGGAGAGATAAGATAGAAATACTAAATTTCTATCTTTTGTTTGGGAGTAGTTATTTCTTTGGAACCCACCAGAACACACTTTTCTTACAAATTGAAATGAAATGCGAGGAATAATAATCTCACTTTTAAATTTATTTTATAATATACAAATAATAAGTAATATTTATGTTAAGAAAAAATAATGTATTAAAAAATAATTTTTAATTAGTGTAAAAATATTATAAAATTATTTGTTTATTTTTTCCACTATATTTCCCCTCATACAAACAATCAGAGAATTTTTTTTTCACTTCTCTCCATCTTATTTTTATTCATCCAAACAATATGCCTTTTCTACCCTATTTCTCTTTTATTTCTATTTTCATGTTTCTTTCCTCTCTATTTCAATATGCTTTTCTAGTAAGTGATGCCAAAAGATGTATAGGGAATTCATGTTATATTTCTTCCAAGAAATGTTTGAACAATTTAACACAAAACCATAGGTCCAAGAAAAAGGCAATTCATAAATATTAACTTATTTATTATAACATAAATAATGCATAGGGGCAATACATACTGAAGTTACGTCAGGATCAGCAGTCACAATCTGCTTTTCGGCAGGCAAATACTTATTCTGCTTGAACTCCATATCTCCTGGAATAGAAAGAAATTTAAATTCCAAACACTAGGGACTGGTGAACAATATCATGGCAGCCACTATAAAACAATCAAGAAAACAATAAACCCTCACATTTTGCTTTACAGTAAAAATTTATAACAGAAAAAAATTTGCACTACCAATTGCTCTAGCCAAATTTAAACTTCCATTCACCCGTCCAACTTGGATGAAACCACCGGCTTTTAGAATCCTATCTTTCTCAGCCTCAAGGTCAGGCTTGTGATCCTTAGATAAATTGTGTGCCTGCAAATAAAATTCCAGTACATAACTGTGACCATGAATATAGTCGAACAATGGCAGTCCCATTGCTGAAGGCGAAGATTCATAGACACTAATTCACAGAATCCATCAAATTCTTAATTTTGGAAAATGATTCAGAAACATTTAGTGTGCTTCAAGGTTCAGGAGAAATTTCAACTCTGGAAGGATACATCCAGATGCCAAAATTATTTTTTGCTATATCAATACAATAACAAAGTGTTAAAATATCAAAGTATGTCATTTACTTATTCCTTCTACCTCTTACCCTATGTTTGATTGAGTAAATAAAGACGCACTTCCTATTCTACTTTTTTTTCCCTTCTTCCTATTTATTTACTCTCTCTATTTTACTTCCAATATAAGCTCAACAACTATAATGTTAAAAAAAATAATACAACTTTTATCTGTACCAAAATATCCATTTCAGAACACAAAAAATGCAGCCAAAATTAACACCATTTATCATCATATATCTGCAGCCAATAAGCTTATATCACATGCCTAGTAAAACTAGAGAATACAAAAAAACTGCAAAGAGAAGGTGAGAATACCTGGCCTTTCCTTGATAAGACACATCTAGAATCTCCAGCATTAGCAACAACAAGTTTGTTTCCTCGGATGACAGCCACACAAGCTGTGCTTCCAGAGTTTGGTCCAGTAAAATCAGAATGGGGCCCCTAATTTACAGCATAACATTCTCAATTCAGAATAAAACTTTGTACAGTAGGATTCAAAAGTTGTATGCCCCACCTCAGATCTTACAATTTCTAGTCTTTTCTATTGACAAACATACTTATTAGGGGAAATTATTCTCACTTCTCCCAAGGTCTTCTCAAAATGATAATAACAAACCCTCTAGTTTTTAAACAAACACCTATATGCCTTATAGGCTTTTTATCAAGTGTGACACACACTCCCTTATTTTGTTTAATTAAGTGACACCCTCAAAAAATAACAGACCATACTTCATTAACAGGAAACACCTACAAGACTTCTTTCACAAATCTACACCTCATGATTGACTATTCTTTAGAAGGAAAAAGTTGTTCGGTTATAGAGACAAAGCTATACAGTGTGCTTCCAGCTTCTCAAGAATTTTGCTACGTAATACCTGTAAAAAGATGGATCTTCTTGTTTCTCTCATTTTACTTTTCACTGTTTCTTTGATATTTTTGGGAGAAAAATTGATATTTGGGCAACAAAAATGAAGAGCACCAAAGTTTTAAGGGTTAACCTTTGATGCTATCTCAGGAAAGATGAGGCTTTTTACAAAATAAAATAAGGGTGTTATTTAAGAAAAGGTAAGTGCAATTTCCCCAGGTTATCATTAGAGAAATGAAAGATACAAAGCTATATAGGTTAAGGTGTCCTCAAAAACTAAACCTTATAATGTGTAGCTGTAATCAGTAAATCATTAAGGAGTCAAATTGTTACATATTACATGATATTTTACAAGAATTGACTGTTAATGTTTATATTGATTTGTACACAACTTTATCGCTCTCTCATAGTTCACAAGCACTTTAAGTATGAGGTAGACAAAAATTACAAAACACATGAAACAAAGCTGAAATAATGAAATTCTAACATATACAAGCAAAGAATCACCATAAGGTTTAAGAAAGTGGTAATTCATAACTGAAAAATGCTGTTTAGTTCATAAGCAGTTTAAGCAAAGGAAGTTGTGCAAATCATCAACTCTAATACCTATACTAACCAGTAAAAAGTATGTTAAATGGATTTTTTTTAATTATATTAACATGCTAAAAAAAAATAATCAAAAAATAGAATTGCTAAGCTTAAATTTAAAATGGTCCAATATATTTATTAAAATAATAAATTCCATACATTAAAACCTTTCCAACATGCATTTGAACAATGGAATAAGTTAGAGAAGCAAGCAGTGATGGTGCAAGAAAATGTTTCCTAATTATTACCTCCTCAAAAGCCCAATCATCAAAACGGTCATTGGCTTCACTATTCCTAGGAGACCAAATAAAGCCCTCTAGCATACCAGAGAACTTCTCTATTTTATCCCCCAAGACTGCTAATTCTCTCCACCCTCTTTGTCCACGCATCATCTCATCCATTCTGCCAATATGAAGGAAAATATGAAAAAACAGGACAAAATTTTGACAGAAGCAGTTCCATCTAAATGCCATATCCCCATTTCCATTTATTGGCATGAACCCTATGGATCCATAAAGCCCCAGATGTGCATATGATTTTAACCATGAAGTAAAAGAAATATACATAAAATTAAGCACTAATATTGAAAATGACTTTCAGATCAGGCAGTGACATTCCTAATCTTTTAACTAGCATAAGGCTACAAAGAAATATAAGGGATGATTGAAATTTTTAAAACATCAATAACACATAGGAAAAGAAGAAAAAAGATAGGAGAAAAAAATTGTTTTAATATTATTTATAAATGTCCATAGCTTATAGTTCCTAGCTATATTTATATGTTGAGTGGATAGATAGGGTAAATAATTGGGCGCAAAAGTTGAAGACATGCCACAGGTTAAGCCTAAGCCAAATTAGCTTTTACAGGTAAAGAACATCAACCAATTATCCCATCCGCTGACTTTTATTGGCATCCAATAAGATTACAAAAGCTCTAAATCAAAACAAACATAAATACCTGAGAAAAGATTTCGTTAAAGATGTGCCTACATCCCCAGCTAAGTAAGCTTCACTCTTCAGGACCTGCTGGTGTAGATACTTGGCACAGAATTTCGAAACTGCTTTGCCTGCAAATCCGTGAGATCATAAGCAAGGCTATAACAAGGAAAATATCAGAAAAGAGAAAAAGAAAACTTATGCAGTATGTTCCAATGACCCATCCATGCTAAAGTGGGTTCGGAATGGAACTTCAAAATAAAGCACCAAGTTTCCAGCAAAAACAAACATTAGAAATTGAAACCACTTCCTTGACACGCTCACCTTCCTAAGTAATTAAATACATTTTCTTATAAATAGTTTACAGGGACAATTCCAATGGTAAGATAAATGAATCGGTAAGAAATCATTTCCTCCTTGCTTTTGAAAATGAGTATGGACACATTGGATAAATACAATTGACAACATAAAGAGATGATACCGACCTCCATGGCCATCATAAACACCAAAGTAAGATGTAGCCTCGTCCAAATATGGGATAGCTGCATGCTGGCAAATAATGTAACAGAATTACAACTTGTATAGACAATGGAATAGATTATAATACAATAATGGGCACTGAAGATTGTAGTACAAAAGTATCAAGGTACAGCAAGCATCTACATCATATACATGCAACTCACTTCCAAAGAGAAGCAATTTCTCATGTCTAAAACTACACTAGAGGAAGGAAATTTATGCCTCTGAAAATTAGAAAAACTGAGAGTTACATTTGCCCAATGACATCAATAGGTAAGGGAAATAACTTTAATTTAAGTACCATAAATAAGTGAACTTTTGCTCTCTTCATTATAGCATATTAAAAATAAAACTAAGTAATCTATAAGCCACATTAAACATAAGATGCTACTCCTTTTACAACTTTCTCAGTCAATCGTGCAAATATCAAAATTAGTTTGTCAGTCACCATTTGACTCAGTATTACGTCAACATGTATACGGTCAGTCTAGCTTAGAATTTTCCTTACACTTCGTTGTCAAAATAGCACTGGCAATGAACTCACACTAGTCATTTACAGTAACATCCCTTGTTTACAACCAAAGCATCAAATGCCGTCTGGCATAAAGAAAGACAGTGAACAAGACACTTGTCGACGGCAACATAAAAAACAAGCGAAAGCAAATGAAATAAGACGCAGCAAAAGAAGGAGGCAATTACAGCATCTTCCATGGAAGCACGCCAACCCTGCATGGAAGACAAACCGAAGCGCAGCTTGTCGTTCTCTCCATCTTCAGAGGCCTTCTCTGTTTTGGGAGCGCTGAGGTAAATCCCCATCTCAAACTACAATCACAAAAAAGCCAGCATTGAATCACAAAGACCATTACAACTACGCACCATCACGTCACAGAAAGGCACAATTCAATTCCCAATAACGCATTCCAACAAAGCCAAATCTAACCATATCTGTTCTTTAGCACGCGATGCAACGCGCAGAAACGAAACGATTCAAGCGAGAAAAAGAAATGCAATGTAATTCAAGAGCAACAGATGCATCGAATCGGAATGCATCAGGATAATCTTGAAATGTGTGAATGAATAAATGAATAATCTACGAAATGAGGAGCAAGCCCAAGAATCAAACAACAGAAATCGTGATTATTAACAAACATAGTCACAATCAGCAGCGACAGAAAAAACGCGGAAGATGGAATAATGAAACATGAAATTGATGAAGAATAAGGGTTTGACGGAACAGTACTTACTCACTCGTGTCCGCACAGTGGAATCGGAAGAGAGAGAAAGAGCGAGAAATTATGTATTATTTGTGTGGAAGGAAAGCAAGAAGCAAAAGAAAAGGATCCTTTTTCCGTTGCCTGGTTGTAGGAAAAGTTGTTTTGGGTTAAACCATCTCTTGCCACGCCCCTTTCATATTATACCACCTTTCTTATTTTTATTTTATTTAATTATATAATTTTTTTATTTATTCTTATCCTCATCCCGAGGAAGAAGCTTCTTTTTCTAATTAATAATTTAACTTCATTGTCCAAACGTATAAATTAATCGGTGTTATTGTATCCTATGTGCCTTTCAACTCTGCTTTTGCTTTATTTATTTATCTTATAAGACAAGAACAGTGCACAATTATGAGGATCGGAATGAATAAACTATTCACAAATATAATTTCTCGCATACCATACCATGGGCGGTTTTGTAAAGATTACTTATAATTTGTCTTAAAAATCATTACTTTATGTATCACTCAAGTGAATCCATTTTAAACTATATTTGATTATATATTTTATCGTATAATTATCATTTTATATAATAATTTTGGATAAAAGTAAGATCTGACAAATCGATTTTTACGTAACAAAATTTAAATATGGTAAGCAGATTTATCTTAGTTGCTTTTTTTTGTGCTAATTAGTTGCTCTTTTAGGGATTACCATGTGATTAACACCTAGATTAAGCTACTTTATTAGTATGCGTGTCTTAATCATATAATTATTTTTCTTCTTCAACATTCCATCCCATGTGTCTCATTTAAATTTTTTGCTGAAATTGGGTCGAATGGTACTGGGCCATAGTTGGGCCTTTTTTTATTTGGTTGTTAGTATATCCCCTCAGTTGTTGCTATTGGCAACCCTCACAATGAAATAAGTTTTTGTTATATAAAATACAGAAATAGAATATAAACTTTAATGCTATTATATCACAGTGAAGAAATAAAATTATAAATATTTATTATTAGACATCATTATTACCATTGTTTGTGACACCACCATTTATATATAAGTAATGTTTTTGTATTATTTATATGTGAATTTTTAAAATATTAACATACTAGATTAATTTGTATGCATCTCATGTTTAGGCATCTCATGCATTAATTTCTGCTCTCTTTTTCCGATAACCTATTTTCATCATTTATATTACGTATTTTTTTAGTGAGATTTTTTGTTGAGAATGTAGGCTTGTAAAGTATAAATGATAAGGTAACATGATTTTAAAGAAAGTAAATATATATGTAATATTAAATGCGTGACCAAATTACATACATAAATCTATTATTTTTTCAATTTGATTACTTTATAATTATTTTACGAACAATGGTAATAAAAAAAATAAGAATTTCTAATAATATAATCTATACTATTTAATCACAAGTAATAGTTAACAATAGAAATAAGAGTTGACTTATTATTATATACATCATATCATGTATTTTTATTTTATATTTAAAAAAAAAAACTCTTTTTAAAGAAATAACAAGGTATATATTCTTATTTGAAAATATATATATATATATATATATATATATATATATATATATATATTCCTTTTTTATTTTCACAAATTTTGAAAGTTGGAGTGCAAATCTAATCTTATTAAAAAGATTGGAGACAGTTAAGAGGAACAGATTCGTTTAGTGATAACAAGCATATGGAATAAAGTAATGTTCTTCCTAAGCATTATTATCCATCGTGTTAATGGTTTGTTTTTCAATAGAAGTTAAAAAAATGTACATAAAATTTGATTTATTCATTCAATTGTAATGACTTAATTGATACTTATAACCTCAAGAGTGACATTGTAAAAATAATGCACACTATTCGTTATATATGCACAAGTTTTGCAATTTCCTTTAACTCAAAAAGTTTCGGGTGAGAAATTTAAGTTTAAATCGGATTCTCACGCAACCGAAGAATAATGAAAAAACTCGTAAAGTTTTGGATTCAACATGATATTAATCTTCTTATGAATTAAATTTATATTATGGATGGTGTACTTTTTATAAATCACTAAGTACATCATATTTTCTCATTTTCAATGAAATTATTGATTCTAAAGTAAGTAGATCATGTTTTCTAATTTCAAAGTGTTGAAGTGTGAATTTCCAAGATTATATAAAAATAAAATAAATTAAATATCTCTTTATTTTTATTAAACAGTGATAAAAATACACATACTCATTTACACACAAAATATTATTGATAAAAGAAGTTGACATTAAACAAAAACAACATCAATAAGGTAACCAAATCTTTGTCCACAGATTACATTACATCAGACATAGTGGAAGGGAAAGAATATGACAAAAGCCAAGTTCACAGAAAGATTAAACATTGAGACCCAAAAATGAGACTGTGATGGTGCAGAACTTTGACGTGGCCTGCGATTAACATCTGCACTGCCTCCACCTCCTGCCCTTCCACTACTTCCTGACCCTCCTGAACTTCCTCCACCTTGTGTTTTTCTTGTAGTATCAACTGTTTCTTCTTTTTCGTACCCATTTTCATCAACTATGTATTTTGAGTCTTCTATGTTTCCCTGTAATTTCCCTATATATCACTGAATAACATTAGCCTAATAAAACTGAAAAAAGAAAATTGCTTGAATCACATTGGTTTCAATTTGTGGTTTTTGAAAGGCAGAAGAATACCAAGAAGTTGCTGTGCTTGTTCATTGCTCTGGATAAGACCCTTACCATCTGAAGTGAAATTCATGTTGAATTCTGATGTTGATATGGCTTCAATACCTGCAATGAGTAGGATCAAAGCAAGGAATCTTACCTTCATCTTAGGGGTTGAACAATATCCAAAGCCTGGCACCACTACAGGTTTTTAGTTATGTGGTCTTGAGTTGAGATAAGGTATTTATAGGGTAAAGTAAAGCTAGAACATCATAAACTAAGGCTTAAATCTCTGATAAAAATTGTTAATATTTAAATGTCTGATAAGGTTTTAAACAAGATTCTCTTCAAAAGAATACTTATGGAAAAGAACAAAGATGTTCGAAAAGAACCATTTTCTAGAGACAGAATAAGAAAAAGTCTCAAGTATGGGTTAAAGTGTGAGAACTACGATTTGACAACAAATAATAAGTATAACAAGTGTGTGATGTAGAAGATTGAGAAAAACTAGATTATTTTAAAAATAAATTATAATATAATTAATTAATTATTATCATTATAAGTAATTATAATTATTTGATTGTTTAAATAAAATTTCTGAAAATTGATTTTAAGATGATTAATTTTATCTGGACAAAAAAAACTTTTTTTTATATGGGACAAAGAATGTGTACGAAGTTAAAAGAAAAAAAATACAAAATAATAATAAAATATAAATTTTGGTTTTTTAAATAATTTATTTTAAGTTTCTTTTTTCAAATCAAAACTGGTATCTCAAACATTCAACTTATTTGTAAAAGTCTAATTTACACTAAAAATAGTAAATTTATAAAAATTAATTTTCTCAATCACTCTTTTTTTTTTCTGACATTATGTTCTCCTTATTCATTAAATTTAAGATAATTGTCACTTTCTTCTATTATAAATTTAGGGTTTGAGCATCTCGTCCTTTTAAACCTAAATTGCATAAAGAACCCCATGATATACAACAGGCCCAGTACACAACATAGACCAGCCCAATTATAGTAAATAATATTTCTAAGAATATTAAAAATAATAAAGTAGGTAATAATTATTATTTTTTTGTATAAATATTTTGATATAAAGTGTAAATTGAATGATTTTTATTTTTTTATCACTAGCAAGTAATTAGATAAAAAAAAGTTGTATGGAGCATGGACTTGTAGAATTTATCTTCCATGTCATGTGCAAAGATTCTAAACAGTACGAGGTACCATGGATAAGTCAGTAAATAATTAATATAACTATTTATTTATTTTCTCTTTGATTTAATTTATTTTATTTATTTTTCACATGTTACTTTTTCTTTCTTCTCAACTTTCACTTGCTATACACCTACCCAGCGTGAACCATACGTTAAATATAGCTCATTAAAAAAATTCATAGTTTTAATCAACATGAAACTTTGGATCTTCCGAAAGCATATGCCACGCGCCACGTGGAATTAAAATATTTAATCTTTTATTTATTTTCCTAAGTAACTTGCTTATAAAATATCATTTTTCACTATTATTTCATGGCTCCTCAAAGTCCAAGGGTTATTATACACATTTCCAAACAACCAATTTTCCTTTTAAAAATAAATAAAAATAATAAACAATAAAGACAAGGAAAGGAAGGAAATAGACAGGGTCCACACGACAAAAACCATTAATATATAATTATAAAAAATAAAAAAAATATGGACAAGTCTTCGACATAAAAGTTTCCACCGAATCAATAAATCTGAACCGTTGAAAGAGCTGAATCTCATCGTAATGGTCCCATACAATTATCAGCATCTGCGTGTAAGTTGTTTGGGACAAGGAAAACGAGACTTTTAGATGTTCGGAAGATTTAATAGAAAACCAAACAGCACCTCCAAAAAAAAACACAACAACAACATAAAACCTCTTTCTCTCTTCTCTTTCTTTTATTATCATGTGTTGAAGTTCTGAATTTGAAGCATATCTTGTTCTTGAATGGAAACACGTGTGAGTGACATGAAGATGGCCATAGATGATGCTTTGAACGGCTTCTCTCCTGTCTCCACCCCTACCATTTACTGGAAATCCCGAAGAAGATCAGGTATATCTACATATCTATCTACACATACATACATACATATATATATATATATATATATATATATATATATATATATATATATATATATATATATATATATATATATATTACTTAATTAACTTCACTTCTCTCTAATTTCTCTTTCTACTTTGTCTATTATATTACTTAGTGTTGTTCCAAATTATTTGGTAATTGCTGCACTTACTTTCTCTTCTGTGCTATTTCCATATCATGTTGTTCAGATTTGGAAAGAGAATCCAATGGTTTTGTTGATTTTTGCATGGGATTTTCGATATTTACTTGCCCTCTGCCAATTCTTAATTCTTTCACAGAAAAAAAAATCTGTGTGTTCCAGTTTCGATTTAACTTCATTTCTGCTGGGATGGTTTCTGTGATTTCTGCAAAATTGGTCACTGTTTCGGATAGAGGGAGCGTAAAACGGGTTTTAACGGTTGGTGTGACTTTTATGTTACGTTGCTTTGTTTGTTGGGGAGTTTTCCCTAATTTTGCTCATCCCATTTTACAATATAATAATAATAATAATTAATTCCTTACTTTTTCAAAAGATAATTTTTGAAGATTGTTACTTTTGAAAATTAAATCGAAATTGCTGATTTTGAAAACCAAACAACTAAATGTAGCTGATTGAAAATGAAATATTAAAATTACGGATTCGACAAGATAATAAAAGGATCAAAATTGTATTCTATCCGATTTTTTCTCAATGGCTTACCGAACTTTGGCTCTCTCTCATTATCAGTATGTGATAATAATTGGGTTGGGATCCAAATATATCATAATCAAAAATTGGAAAAAGAATATTATGTAATTTGTAGCTGATTAGTAGCTCATAGTTAAGAGCTATCTCTATAAGTTTCACCTAATACAATAATAAAAGCAACAAGACAATTTTATGAATCTTGTTAAAAGTTTTATTTGTGGTGATATAGATATTGATGATTTATTGCATTGTGTGAAGGATAGAGAAAAAGGGAAAATAAAAAAGTTTGTGGGTGTTGAAATTGTGTAGTCATCATCATATCATTGGTTTGACTGTTGGACAGCTCACCCTCCAACTAACCCTCTTGAGAATAACACAATAGTCTTAATTATGGTATATGTGAACTTCAAATTGATGCCTTTTTGTTTTTGTTTTCAATGTTTTTATGTTAGCATTTAATTTGGTATCCGTACACATTTTATCCCAAAGCAAGATTGGGCTAACCTTGACAGAATGAAGACAATTCATCCATTCAAAAGTATAGGGTTTATATATATTATATATACAGGGAAAAAAGACTCTGCCCTTCAAGCAGAAAATATATAGTAATAAGTTTATTAACTTTTATAACAACTCTTTTAAAAAGTTGTACCAATAATGATTTGCCATTGATTGAGAATAAAAAATAAAAATGACTTCATACTATATACAATGTCATGTTTTACGTTGACATTGGTACAGTGTCGTGTAAGATGAGATCTGTGAAATTAGGCTTCATGCAGGAGGCTCTGTTCAACTAACCCTATGAATTCAATTTTAAGAGAACTTCACTTGAGAAAAACTTATTTCAATAGGATATAACATACGATGAATGGACACTATTAATAAGTTTCATCTCTTAAATGTAACTTGGTGTAACTGCTTGTTAGTTCCCTTATCTCTGTCGTAGCAATGTTAGATCGATAATCATTTGATCAAAATCAATTTTTTTATCTCACTAACCATTGTTTCATGTTGGAAACTATAATCCACAAGAAATTATTAACCTGTTCTGGACGATTTGTGTAGATAGATGACTAACTCTATTTGATATGACACCGACATGCATTCAGATTTTGTAGTTTCAAAAAATAATAACTGCATGTTATGTAGAGATCAATCAAGATCTTTCTGATCTTCTTCACCTACCTAATAATTTCTATAATAACATTCATCTAGTAATATCATATCATTAGATACATTTGTTGAGTGCAATGGAGATGACTACTCTGCAAACCATTTGAGAGCAAACAAGGTTTTCCACTTTATTTTCCATATGCTTGACTTTGTTGTGCATTCTAAATGATGAGCTGCCAAAAACAAAAATGGTAACTTGTTCCCCACAGCTAGCGGGAGGAATTTAGAGGTATCAGAAGATACTGCTAATACACCACCCAGCAAGCCGGAAGATACTCCTCTTCCTTCTTCTAGTGAGGAGGTGCAGAACACAACTCCAATATCTGAGCGTCGAAAGGCCTTGTTTGAACCATTAGAACCCATAAAGAATGTTAATGGCCGACGACCCTCGGCTGAGTCTTTACTTCCTCCCCCTGACTTTGAATCTGCAAACTATCCTAAGGGCTGGTTGATTGGAAAAAAGCGAAAGCTTGTTAATGTGGATGTTGTTGAAAGCATGCGAAGGATTGCCATCCAAGAAATGAACAGAAAGGTTCCAAGTTTCCTCAACACCCTTCACTTCCAAGCGAAGACACAGTTATTTTCTTACAGGCCTCAAACTCAGGCCACTTGCTCACTTTTGCTATTGTTGTTGTTGTTGCAGGACAGGGAAATTGATGGACTGAATGAACAACTGGAGGAGGACTCACGTTGCCTAGAGCACTTGCAACTCCAGCTTGTGGATGAACGAAGCAAACGTGCTCGAGTGGAAAGAGAGAATGCAATGCTTCAAGAACAAGTGAACATGCTTATGAACATGTTACAAGAAGCAGAGCAAATGGGGGATGAAGGCCCGGAAGAACCTTAAATTTTATCATTATACATTTTATGTGTGCTTTGTGTGTATCAAATTCTTTTTGTAGGTTTGTCTAGTATATTGGATGTGTATGCAGTTATTAGAGTGCATATAGTTATATTTTGGAGCAAATAGATCAAACCGCAATGAGCAAACAATTCGTTTATCTCAAAAAAAAAAAAAAAATTGTAAATCTTTCTGGAGACCGTGTGGTTGTTAATTTATAACTTGCTACTCTTTTAAATTATAAAAGAGTATTGTAATTTAGATGGTTTCCAAATTGATTCAGTGACTCAGTTAAATAAAGATCATAGTCGATATTATTCTCATCGGCTGCCATGTTGCCATGTTGTTACTGTTAACATTTTATGCTACAATTTATCACCAAGACAAATAAAGACAAATAAGAAGGTGGCGACGACGCATGATTTCCACATTTTTTTTTAAGCTGAAAATATCAAGTTGTCTCGTCATTTACGTCGGGATTCATCATCAATGTAAATTTCTGAATCCCATGCAACAAACTGCAGATACAATATTCACACGGTTAAAGACTATATGTATATATATATTATATAGCTTTTGTATTTCTTGCAACTAGCAAGTTCAGGTAGATTGCGATTATCTAACTTTATTAACAGAATCCTCAGACATCTGAAACAAAAACTGAGGCAGAGATGCAATCCTTGGAAGATTCAGAAGCAAATCACCAGCTGATTCCTTTCTGGATATGCCAATCCCCCCCTGCTTGCAGCCAGAAGCATCATCTGGTTGACTGTCCAAATCCGCCACTTTAGTTTTGCCTGGTGACAATTGGGTGGAGTTTGAATTACTCGCACCAACTTTTCCACCCTCATCTGCATCAAAACCATTACCACTTCTGGTCATTGTGCTTGAGTCCTCTGCTGCAAAAGTATCCTTCTGCAGAAGACAGTAGAGTGAGTTCACCCTAGACATCACATCTGCATCTCTTGGACCATTCCCATTTCTAGTCATTGTGTCTTCAGCACACTGCAGAAGGGAGTACAGTGAGTTCACCCTTGACATCGCATTTGCATCTCTCAGACCGTTGCCATTTTTGGTCATTGTGTTTGTGTCTTCTGCTGTAGAAGGGTCCTTCTGCAGAAGACAATATAGTGAGTTCACCCTTGACATCACACGCTGTTCATCAGAGGCAGTTGCATGTTGAGAATCATTGAACAAGTATTGAGTAAATTCTTCCAGAATAGATCTGCTATACTGGCCATCACCAGCAATATTGGGATAGTCAGATCCCATCTGTTCTGAAATGCAATGTCCAATGTGGCTTACCAAATCGTCCATTGACATAGAAGGGTGAAGTCCAGACAATTTGATCTGATCCAAATTACTGAGAAACTTCAAAGTTTCAGCTCCTCTACTCCTGAAATCTTTCATTGCATGGGTGTTCATCACTGCACATGATTCGTTCGGCATTAATATATTAATATAATATATAATATTTGCGTGATCACGACATGAGGCATGCGAAGGATTATAAAACATGATTCATATTTTCCACACATGTACCATATTCTTTATATCAATATAGTATTACATATAATAGGCAGTGGCTGAACATAAAATAAAAATGAAAAGCGTTATGGCATGACTTAGATTTTCTTGTTTTTAAGTATTATTTGAGATAAACGAGGCCATTAAATAGTGCAAAGTTGTGATTTTTAGTTGTACCATCAGCAAAACCCTACAAGTTTGTACCCGTATTTATAGACTAATATCAAGATACATCCTGTAAGTTTAACGGATAGCCTACGATAAACAAACAGGTGCATTTACTATTATACCGAATTCAAATGGTATTAAAAAAATTGAACAGCAATTACCTGGGCTAGGTGAGGTAATTTCTTGGGAAACATTTTCAAGAGCTTTACCAAGATTAGGTTCACTTTTTGAGGAAGATGATTGAACGGCAGATCCTGACTCCACATCCTGCAATCCAAAAATACCACCTCTCTCCTCGCTTTTTCTATCAAAACCATCACTAGTTTCAATGTGATCGTGAATTGAACTTGTTCCGGGTTCAAAATATGGAGAATCCAACACCAAATCCGGTTGCTGGCTTAGATAGTTGAGACGTGGATCACACTGAATGAGCTTCTCAAAATGCTTGCCAAGCAATCCTAGTGGACACTGCAGAAAATGCCGCCTATAACAAAAATGGAAAATTGCATCATCATCACCTAGAAGTCAATGTAAAATACCACCAAAAGAAGAACTAACCAATAATATAACAGTACCTGTTTATGCTGGCTTGCCCACCAGTAAAGTCTGATGTTGCCTGCCACAAGGTATGCTTCCTTGGCTGTGGATTGATTTCCCTAAAAAACAAGGGTCTTCTTGCCAGCTACGACACACAACAGGAACACCAACTTAGTGCCACAGATGATAGTGGAACAAATCCAATTAATAATAACAATTAACTAAAAACAGAGGAGATGGTTTATGGTTACCACTTACCACTACTTCGAGTGTGCCTGGTCCATCTTCAGGGTAGTTTGCCTTGAGAGCCATGATATCAGACCATGGGATTTCAATCTTATTCTTCAGACACCCATCAAGGACTTCCCATACCAGCTTATGCTTTGCAAAGTAACACTTTGCCACCAAGTCTCCTTCATATCTAGACTTGTACTGTACAAATCACCATATGCACATCAATCACAATATCACATCATGTTTGTTTGTACTGTATTAATTATATTATTCATATTACATGATATTCTTCAAATTACAAGCATACCTCCCAAGTCCCAATTTTCAAAATGGTTCCAGGAAAGTTGGAGGCTTTTAGTTTAGAGTCCGCAGCAGCAGAAGCTGCAGAAGCCTTTTGATCTTTTTTCTTGGACTCCTCTTGTTGGGAAAGCCTCATCTGAATCAAATCCAAAAGGGAAGGACTCTTCCTGAGACGCAAACCCAAAGGGCTTGGCTCATCCAAGGGATTATACGAAGCTGGTGGAATTGAAAGAGAATCATCTCTAGAATCACACTGTTTAAAAAAAAAAAAATTAAAGAAAACAAAACAAAACAAACTATCCAAATAGGAAATCGATGATGAGCATCAGAGAAATAGACAAAAAAAAAAATTCCACTCTTAGAAGAAAAATTAAACCTTGGGATTTGTTTCCAATTTGGGTCGCTTGTGGGTGTGAAGAGGAGGAACATCATCTTGAACTTCCAACTTCACCTTTTTCAGACATTGATTATCTGTATCAGACCTCATTAGCTGAACCATGCTGCTGAATCAAACAAACAGATGGTATCACAAACAAGATAAACAGAGTTTGACTCCGATTTTCAGGACGAGAATGAGAAATTTTCTTCTTTAGCAACTCTTGAGCAATACAACGGCGGGCGCATAGGAAAATCAATGTATCTTCTCTTTCTTCAATGGCGACTGTCACGTGCCGAGTACGAAACGACGCCGTATTTAAAACACGACAGCTGGGTCAAGTAGGAAATCCAATTACAAATACACCCTCCACTAGAAAACAAAAGCATGGGCCATTTATGTCGTCTAGTGTGGGCAAACTGGAAATATCCCTTTGCGGTGTGAAACGGCAGTGTGTGGTGCCGTCTGAGAGGCACGTGGCATCACGTGATGTTAATGGATAAAATGTGGGTCCCGGTTCATGAACCTTCTTGGTTATAGTTGCGTGATGGAGTAAGATGGACAGGTGGAAGGATCTGGTGGGAGAGTTGAAAACGTAAGCTCTTGAGGTGGGTCCCACCATATATGCCTTTCTGGATAATGTAAATAAATTGTTAATTTTTTATTATTTTTTATTATTTATCCTGCGTTTGCTTTATCCTAATGGATAAACTTCAGCCTCCAAAACCAAACCATGTTCATCATCTTGTCTCTCTGCTTTTGCAAATCCCTGCAATTTCTTTCATTTTAAATTTTAAAAAAAGTTACAAAGTTGGGTATGTGAGTGGGAAAAAAAGTGATGTGGGAATAGTAATTTACCGGGTACCTATTTAATTTTCCTAAACAAGAAAAGGTGTGGTAAGAAAATTGTATGATGATAGAAAGAGACAAGGTCCTTATGTAAAGGGTAAACGTGCTGAAAATTTTGAACGATCAAATAGAAAATTATTATAAGGGAAGTGGAGGGTGTCTTTGGAACGAAGGGACTGTCCTAAAGAAAAAAATGGTCTAAGTAATCAAAACCAAAATGGCAATGTTCATCTCGAGTCAATTATTAAACTTGGAGATTCATATTTAACTCTTTTTTTTTTCTCTTCTTAATATAAAATCATTAGTGTGTAAATTAAATTCATTAAAAAAATATTTAACTATTTTCTTCCTTTTCTTGTTATAAGATTTATTTATTCTGAATTTTTCTTCAAAACTAAAAAAAATAATATAAACTACAACTTCTTAAAATTAAGTAAACAAATGCAAGTGGAGCAAGTTGACTAAAGAAGTTAGCAAAAGTTTGAGAATTCATAACCGACTTCATATCACTGAAGAATAGTGGAAGATTTGAATTCCTATAGTTCCAATATAGACTTTAATTATTTTCAGAATATATGAAAAAATATTATTCAATAGTTTTGGAAAATGCTAAAAATACTCAAATATCGCGAAAATAGAATTTGAAAAAAAAAAAAAGAAAATTTGTGCAGTGCTTTCACATGGAGTAATCGGTATGTGAATGTGTGTGATTCATGAAATGCTGTCTGCAACAACACCTTATGTAATGATGTTACCACAGACAACATCGAGGCTAAAAAAATGTCAGAACCAGATAACTCACAATGTGTGATGTCTTGTGTGCAGGGACACCATCTTTGTGTTTCAGAACATCAAGTATTGAATCAGAACAAGGAGTAACATGCATTGTCCAATAATCAGAACTTACAATTCACTCTTTGCAGATTTTTTTTTTTTTTCTTTTCTATTCTATAGTGTTGTTCTTTCATGGTAAAATTGGATTAGAATAAAGATAGACAAAAATATCCCTTTAAATAAATAATATCAAAATAAAAAATCTATAAAAACCCAAATGTAAAAAAAAACAACACTATTTATATCATAACTATATTAATTTTACTCCATTTTTCACATAATTATTTAAACTCGTATCTTTAAAAATATAATATAAGAATGAGAACAAAATAAAAAATAAAATATTCTTTAAAGATGGAAAAATTTTGTTGAGGGATAAAAAAATATAAATTTTTATTAAAGAATAAAAAAAATATATATCTCAATCGGATTTAACCATAAACAAACTGAACTAATAATCTTGATATGATAATTCATAATTTAACTATAAATTTAAATAAAAATAAAATTTTATAAAATTATAATAATATTTTATTGAAAATCATATATAAAATTTACAAATTTAGAGGAAGGTAAAAATATTATGTAAGCCTAAATTAAAATATTGGAATAATTGTGATTGTCTTTCGTTTTTTATTAAGTCAAAATCTCCAACATTTTATCTATGCTAGCAAAAGTGTTTCAAAATTTCTTCTTCTTATTCGGTCAAATGTCATTGATTTTTTTTTTCATGAATGTAAGAATTAAAGCTTCTGTATAATTGTCGAAATCACAAAAATGATCTTATTAGAATGTAATATATATATTTGAACTTTTTTTTTTGTTAATAAAATAATGAACACTTATTTGGATAAGCACAGTGGTACCTACCTGCAATGAAAGTTTGCAACTTTGGATAAGCACAAGTAATAGTTCATACAGTAAAATATCTTATGAACAGGGTTATTTGTTAGTTGATATAAAGTTTAAACTTTATATAACATAAATCCTCCCATTACTTTTAGGTTTATACTTTTCAATTTTTTTGTCATAAATATGAGAATCTTTTTCAATATATACTTAATTTTTTTTATCATATATTAAAAAATCAATTCCTTTAAGTAGACAAATTTTAATTCCTTTAAAAAATATTAGAAGTCTTTAACATTAATCTTATCAATAAGGTTAAAATGTAATAGAAATTATAAAACTATTAAAAAAATTATAAAATTAATTGAATTTTTTCATTTATTTATGTTATATATATAGTGAGAGTATCATCTCATAATAATAATTCGAAGATTCATTATTAGTTATAAAATATTATTTGTTAGTTTTTTATTCTTAAAAAATATTTTTAATGGAATAAAAGACAATAGTGTTTATAAACATAGTGTTTAATTAAGAAGAAAGAGATAAAAGTGAACTGAGACACACTTTCAACTTTTGATAGGTTAATATTTTATCTAAAAAATATATGTCTTAATTTGTATTGTTAAAATGTATTATTACATTCAATATATTATTTATTTTAAAATTTTAATTATTATAATTCTATATTTAAAAAATATTTTGATAAGATAAATATATAGATATATAAATAATTTTATGAATGTATTAGAATAATTTATAAATATTTTTATCAAATAAAAAATTGAATGTATTGACACGTGTGTGCATCTTTTTCTAAATTCTAAAATAGAACATTTTTCTTGTGTTTAAATGTAATCTCAAAATATATTATATATTTTGTTTTGAAAATAACTACATAATATGCCCCCAACAAGTGAGAAATTTTCGAAGTACCCCAAATGACCCGTCACACAGATCTTCTTATCAGTTTCTACTTTGTAATGAACACATGTATAATATGGTAAGATTATCATGCAATATATATATATGTATGTCTAGTGTCTAGTCATAGTTGTAATATAACTGCACATGATTCCACTTGATTTTACTTTAATACTAAACAGGAGGTCATGAACTTGGGTTGAAGATGTTTGCAGCATTATAATGGAGTGATGTTTGCAGCATTATAATGGAGTAATTAATTAGCATTAGAATACAAAAAAGCAAGATATGGTTCTAAAGGGTCACATCTGAAAAGTCTTCCAACTCCAAAATATGATACTTTTTTATCTCAAGAAGATGGTGATGGAAGTCCAAAGTAGGAATATAGTTGCAGCCTTGCATCTGCAATTGCAATTTGCATATGCTTTTTCCTCAATCAAAGAATTAGATAACTTTATTTAAACAAGAATTATTTATGATGTCTACTTTAAATCTTCAAATATATACATGTTTTTTAAAAGGACAATACCCTTTGGCAAGAGACAAAGGTAGGTGCAATGCAAATGCTCCTAGATATAGATAGTATTACTGAGTAATCAAAGTTTGATTGAATTAGTTGCATGTTTTTATGATGCATGCAAGTAATATAATGAGTTTGAAAAAACCAAGAAAACAAAAAACTATAATGAATGTGGAGAAGCATGTGGCCAAATTATACTTAAAGCTTACCAAATTGGATTGAAGAATTAGCCGCCATTACCTAACTCAAAATGACATTTGACCATATTTTATATTGATGCAAATATGATGCATCAATCTTCTCTCACCCTTTGGTTCAAAAAGAAAATAAGAGAATTAGAAGATAAAATATTTTATATTGGGTTCTGTGGCATCACTCTTTAAAGAAAGACCCAAGTCCAACACACAGAACAACCATTTTCCTGCTTCAAGGATTTTGTCTGAGCAATTAAGCACCATGATCTGCTCCATTGAAGAAACAAACTTCAACACTTCCATTCCCCAATCACAAACCTCAATCCTTAGATAGTTCACAAGAGTTTTTCAGTACAAAAAGCTGGAACCATATTTTATTTCTTAACATATTTACCACTAAAAACAAAAAACAAAAAAGTTTTCTATCTGTCATTTTCATAACAGTTAAAACATAAGCATCTTACCATTCATCTGTCTCCTTCTCCAGACAGCATTTTTCGATTTGATTGAATCAAAAGATGGTAACAAAACTACGTTCATATATCCAACAATAATATTGATGTGATTTAAAGTAGTCTATGAGTCTTATTCAGATTTCAAGTTATTCAAATTATATTTATCTATTTTTATTTTATTATTTTAAATATTTTGAATTTTGATGGAATTTTTTATTAGTTTGTTAGGATATTATTATTTGATGGAATTATATGTTTTTTTTTTTTTCTCTTCTGTGTGATGTTACGATACAATGTTTATAAATGAACCAAAGTACTACTCATGTCTAAAGAACTTTATGCCATACTACATTAATTGCAGATTCAAGGTGTGTTACCTTTCTAACACTATTTCTGGGAATTTTCATTTTTTTTTTAAATCTTGTTTGCTGAATCTTAAAGACATGTTCTGCTCCTCCAACTGATATGTCCTGTGTGATAAAGGGTGTTCAGAAACACATTCAGCTGAATGAATAGTATCTATTTTGTACCTAAAATATATCATATTAGATAAAACTTTAAACGTGTACTAGTTAATCAGCTTTTGAATCATAAAACTTTCTACTTTAGGTACATCGAGATCAATCTCTTTTATCAACTTCTTCGATACGTGGAGCAAAAATGATAGAAAAACATCTCTCCGTGACTCTGTTTTTCAATGTGCATAGCACCCTTTTCTTGTAGTGTGAAAAAATCACTTTCCTATTAGATAGGAAACAGTCATTCCCTTTTCAAAAAAAAAAAAAAAAAAAACTTTCTGTTACTATCTATCTATCTATATATATATATATATGTGTGTGTTTATACTAAAAGTGCATTATATAGGAAAAGAAGACAAACATGCAAGAAAAATGTAAAGCTACTAATATTAAATTGTTTTTGTTGGATTGCAAGAAGCTAGAAAATTAAGTCTATGTCTTGGAAAAACAAATATAAGAGATCAAATTTTACTTTAAAATCCAGAAGAAATGCCACCAAGTTGATTGGTTACAGTGGAAGTGCTTCATGTATCGTTTTCTCTGTACTGATTACAGTGTACATTTTCAGTTTCCGCGTAGAAAACGAATAAAGCCAGCTACTAGACATTGGAACATGTCATGCTTTCAGATTCAACAAAGACATATCGGTAAGAGACGTAACACAGGACACTAAGGCCATGTTTGAATAACTTCTATCCACAAAAACTTGTAAGAGAAAAGAAGAAAGTAAATTAAGTTTTTTCATTAACTAATGTTAATTTGTACAAACTTAAATGACAAAAACTTTTTACTTACAGGTTGTATGGTTTGTGTAACCTTGAAGGGAAGTTGGTCTTATCTTAAAGGGCTCGAGAGGCCAATAAGATGATTGAAAATCCAAAGTCCCTCGACCCACTTCACCACCTACCAAACAGAACACTAATTTTCTTTTCTGAGTATGTGCACGTGAAACCCCAATAATTCCTCATGCACAAGTGGGGTCTAAAAGCCACCATTTCCTCTTTTGTTTTCATGCCAAAATACACCACTCACAAATCAGAATCTCCTCCATTAGGCCTTCAAGTTCAACACTTCTCCACTCACTCTCTCTCAATGTCTCTTCTACCTTGCTTCCCTTAAACTTTTCCAACATTATTTCTTCCAAGTTTATCTTTCTTTAAAATTCCATACCATCACCCCCCATTAATGGCTATGGCAACATCTATGTTGCCACTCTTTCTGTCCCTTGTTTCTCTGTGCATCATCAATGCAAACGGAGTGTGTTCTTTTGAAGAGAAGAAGATATTCAATGTGCAAATGTTGCAGAAGAAACGGCAACTTGAAAACCAGGGTTGCCTCCTTCCGGAATCAAGTGAGTTTAGTGGGAATGAGAAGTTCATAGGTTTTGCTTTTCTTAGCTTTTTTGGATCTAATAATACTTAAAGAAAACTACTAATCTTTTTCACTGTAAGAATCTAAGTAAAAGAGAAAAGAAAAACCATCATTGGTCTCTCCCTTTCTTTGTCAAATTGGTCATAAAGAAGAGGTTTATTACCTTTGCTTTAATTGTTAGAATTAATTTAATTAATTCATTCCATTATGTGACTCATGTGAAATATAATAATGGGCCCAAATGTGATTTAATAAAATATGAGGACCTATTGGTTATTATGTGAAGTTAGAATAAAATAAAGATAAAATAAAATATTAACTTACGGTAACCAACTTGATGGACGTTGGTTAATTGAATGGAATAAGGGTTACATCTGCGGTCATAAAGTTTTTCACGGTAAAACATCAAGAAAGCGAAGCGTGAGAAGAAAAAGAAAGACAAAGAGATAGATCGGGAAAAGGAGATTGGAGAACGAGAAGATTAAAGAATAGATTTTCATGGATCAAGGTTAGTTCTCTTATTATGATTCATGTATGTTATGTTGTGAAAATCAATAATCTAAAGATCTTGTAGAGTAGTTTTCCATAATGAATTAAGAACGTAGAAAAACTACATAATGTTTTACATGTGGTATCAGAGCCTGATTATTAGATTTATGATTTTCCTTTTATGAAAATATTTCTCAAATGATGTTTTTCCCAAATTAAGATAAACCCTAATTATGAATTTAGGAATTTCTCTATCAGATTAGTATGAACCCTAATTTATTCCCAATTTTATTTTTCTCAAAATTAAATAAAGGAATAAACCCTAATTATGTTTTCAAGTTCAAATTGAAACCAATTTTATAGTCCCTATGCATGAATGACCCCGTAATCCTTTCTAATTGAAAAGCAAATGACGTGATAGGGTTAGGATGAATCATGTATGAAATTAGTTTCATTGTATGTTATAATTATGATGAGATGTTATAATTATGATGAGATGTTATAATTATGATGGAAGAATGATAAACTGTAAAGTTGATAAACTTTGCACGTAGAGACACGTGTTAAACACATATGTTTCATATATTATATTATATTATTTATAATATTATTTTGTATATACATATTGGTGACTTGGTGACTTGCTAAAGCCATTTTCCCCTATATTATTTTGTCCCCATATTATTTGTACATTATTTTGTACGTACATATTTTTTTATGTGGGGGAAGGATAATTAAAGAGTTATTTTTATGTTAAAGTGAGTTGTATAATATACTCATACTTGTAGAGTACGGTAAAACTTTGTTATAGGTACTATATTGTTATGGGTACTCGTAAAACTTTGTTATGGGTACTATAAAGCTTTGTTATGGGTACTGTAAATTTGTTAAGGTACTCGTAAAGCTTTGTTAAGGTTGTTAATGTACTTGTGAAACTTTGTTAAGGTTGTTAATATACTTGTTTTGTTAATGTACTTGTGAAGCTTTGTTAAGGTTGTTAATATAATGTTTTGTTAATGTACTTGTGAAGCTTTGTTAATGTACCTATAATGTAAACATTGATAAATGAATGAATCTTGTTTTGCAAACTCAATTGTATTGTTTCCCCTGTGTTTAAATTACTCATAAAAGTTTTGAATGGATGACAATTTCACTTTTACGTGAAATGCAAATAAAGGTCTTGGATTGAAAATCAATCTTAGGATGAAAATTGAAATTATGAGTTTCAATTTTATTCATGACACATAATATTTTATTATGTGAATAATATACATATTTATTAAAATTAATAAAAAAAATGCTATGAATGTTTAATAGCAATTAAAGATGTTATTTATTTGAAATTAAGCATGATAAATTTTGTTAGTCACCAAAGTGGCCACAATTTTAAGGTTATTTTGATTTCAAATTATTAATGATTTTATTTCAATTACCCATAATATGAACGCTAAAATTATGAATAATGATTTATGGGTTAATTGAAGTTCATTATTATAAGGCATTTCAGGATCACCCAAAGGTTGATTAGTTGTTATTATAATTAATGAACATGAAAGTAGATAATTTTGTGTGCGTCACTAGTTTTATTTATATACCCAAAGGTGTTAGGTGATTCTAGTTGATGCATATTTTAATTATCATTAAAGTTATAAATTGATTAGCGTAATTATGTTTGTGTATTAGTGGATCTCCCAAAGGAGAACATTAGTATGCATAGAATGGTTATTTATGTTTGAATCTGTATTTATATTTAGTTTTTATGACTCAAAGCGTTAATGTTAGACATGTGTTAATTGAAGTATTTGTTTATGTATTTCTACATTCGCTTACTTCGTCCGTTCCAGTCTTTAATAGATTAAATTCCACGATCTGGAGTGAGAAAGTCCAATTTCACTTAGGTGAGTTGGATTTTAATTTGGCTTTCCAAGTTGAAAAACCGGTTGCTATCATCGATGTCGGTAGTAATGAAGAGAAAACTCATTATAGAGCTTGGGAAAGATCAAACAGACTTAGCCTTATGTTTATGCGAATGAGTGTAGCAAGCAATATTAAGTGTGCTCTTCCCAAAACCGAGGATGCGAAAGAGTTTATGAAATTTGTGGAAGAGCGCTCTCAAACTGCCGACAAATCCCTCGCTGGGACATTGATTAGTACGTTGACCACCATGAAGTTTGATGGTTCTCGTAGTATGCATGAACACGTAATCGAAATGACAAATATCGCGAGCAAGACTCAAGTCTCTTTGAATGGCGAGTGGAAGAAACATTTCTTGTGCAGTTCATTTTGAATTCGTTACTGCCTCGAGTATGGTCCGTTTCGGATGAATTATAACACCATGAAAGACAAATGGAATGTGCATGAATTGCACAGTATGTTAGTTCAGGAGGAGACCGGACTCAAGAACCTAGGAAGTCACTCTATTCATTACGTGAAAAAAAATCAAGGAGCTAAAAAGAAAGTTGTTAAGAAACATGGAAATGGTAAAGGACCATTAAAGATTAACGAGTCCTCTACTAACATTCGGAAGAAAAATGACAAATGTCATTTACGCGGGAAGTCTGGACATTTTCGGAAGGATCGCCTAAAGCGTAAAGCTTGGTTCGAAAAGAAAGGTGAGCACGAGTGCTTATGTATGTTTTGAATCAAATTTAACCGAAGTTCCCCATAATACTTGGTGGATTAATTCGGATGTACGACTCATGTTTCTAATGTAATGCAAGGATTCCTTTCAACCCGAACCATAAACCCAAATGAGAAGTTCGTCTTCATGGGGAATAAAGTCAAGGTTCTAGTGGAAGCTGTCGGGACTTATCGTTTAATCCTTGACACTAGATATCACTTAGACCTTATGAATACTTTTTATGTAGCTAGTATCATTAAAAATTTAGTTTATTTGTCTAAGCTTGATGTTGTTGGATACTCTTTTAAGTTTGGGAATGGTTGTTTCAGTTTGTTTAAGCGTACTTCTATGATTTGATATGGTTAGGAGTATGTTAAGTAATTCATGTTTACCTGTATCATTGTGGATGTATGCTTTAAAGACTATCATGTATTTGTTGAACAGGGTTCCTAGTAAAGTTGTTCAAAAGATTTTTGAGTTATGGAAAAGTAGGAAACCTAGTTTGAGACACCTGCTTGTTTGGGGTAGTCAGACAGAAGTAAGAATTTATAATCCGCAAGAAAAGAAACTGGATGCAAGAATAATCAGTGGATATTTCATTGGTTATCCAGAAAAATCAAAGGGGTATATGTTTTACTGTCCTACTCATAGTACAAGAATTGTTGAAACTGGAAATGCTCGGTTCATTGAAAATGGTGAAACCAGTGGGAGTGAAGTTTCACGAAATGTGGAGATTAAGGAAGTTAGAGTACAAGTTCCAATAACTAGTACATCTTCAAGAGTTGTTGTTCCAAATGTTGTAGAATCACACGACAATCAAGAAGAACAACAAATTAATGATCCTGCGATTAACAATGATCCGATAATAGAACAACCATAGGAAATAGTATTAAGAAGATCTCACAGAGAAAGAAAGTCTGCTATTTCGAATGATTATGTGGTTTATCTACAAGAGTCAGAAAATGACCTAAGTATTAATAATGAACCAGTTTCATTTTCAGATGCCATTAATGGTGATAATTCTGATAAATGGTTAGATGCTATGAAAGATGAGCTTAAATCAATGACATATAATGGTGTATGGGATCTTGTGGAATTGCCGGAAGGATGTAAGAGTGTTGGGTGTAAATGGGTCTTTAAGACTAAGCGTGACTCTCATGGCAATATCGAACGTTACAAGGCCCGAGCTTGTTGCCAAAGGTTTTACTCGGAAAGACGGCATTGATTATAAGGAAACATTTTCACTCGTTTCTAAGAAAGATTCCTTTAGAATTATCATGGCATTAGTAGCTCATTATGATCTTGAGTTGCATCAAATGGATGTTAAAGCTGCTTTTCGAATGGAAATTTAGAGGAGGATGTTTATATGAATCAACCAGATGGGGTTTATTGAAGAAGGAAAGGAACATATGGTGTGTAAACTTAAGAAATCAATATATGGACTTAAACAAGCTTCTCGACAATGGTATCTTAAGTTCAATGATACTATTTTGTCCTTTGGATTTAAGGAAAACACTTGTTGATCGATGCATATATCTGAAGGTTAGTGGGAGTAAGTTTATATTTCGATTCCGTATGTTGATGATATCTTGCTTGTGACTAATGATCTTGGTCTATTAATTGAGACTAAGAATTTTCTCTCTAACAACTTTGAAATAAAAGATATGAGTGAGACATACTATGTGATAGGAATAGAAATATTCAGTGATAGATCACAAGGACTGTTAGGTTTGTCTCGGAAAGCTTATATTAATAAAGTTTTAGAGAGATTCGGAATGGAGAAGTGTTCGGCATCTCCCGTTCCAATACGAAAGGAGACAAGTTTAGTCTCATGAAATGTCCAAAGAATGACTTGGAATGGAAACAGATGGAAAATATCCCTTATGCATCTGTTGTTGGGAGTTTGATGTATGCTCAAACATGTACGAGGCCAGATATTAGCTTTGCAATTGGTATGCTTGGTAGATACCGGAGTAATCCTGGACTAGATCATTTGAAGGCTGCAAAGAAAGTTTTAAGATACTTACAAGGAACAAAGAATCACATGCTTACTTATAGGAAAGTTGATCACCTTGAGGTGATTGAATATACTGATTCGATTTTGCTAGTTGTATGGATACATGAAAGTCTACATTTGGTTATGTGTATCTTTTAGCCGGAGGAGCGATTTCATGGAAAAGTGTGAAGCGATCTGTCATTGTCTGCATCCACCATGGAAGCTGAATTTGTGGCATGCTTTGAGGCCACGAGTTCAAACTAATTGGTTGCGGAATTTTATTTCGGGACTTGGAGTAGTCGACGACATTGCCAAGCCGTTGAAAATTTATTGTGACAATTCGCGAGCAATCTTCTTTTCTAAGAACGACAAGTATTCTAAAGGTGCTAAGCATATAGAATTGAAATACTTTGTCGTTAAAGAAGAAGTTCGAAATGTTGAGTGTCAATAGAACATACTAGCACTAATCTTATGATTGTTGATCCTTTAACAAAGGGATTATCGCCCAAATTATTTGTTGGCCATATAATGAATGTGGGTATTATGATCACTAGTGAATGTTGAATGTTAATGTTATTATTAATGTTTATGTGACACTCTGAGATCTTTAACGTATAAGTTTTGAAATTTGTGTTTTCTTCTTTATTTATATGCATGCAAATTATGATGAAGAAAACAAATTATGTTATTATTATTAAAATGATATTATGTTTGAACCCATTATGGACTTCTCATTATAAAGTCATATTAAGGAGAAAGAGATAATATAGTGGTACATGGAAGGGAGCATGTCGATTGAATGACATGTAACCGCCATGACTCTTGTTATAGTTGTATCTTTAATTATGAATGATGATAGAACCAATTTATGTAAGGTCCTTTAATGCGCATTATGACTTAAGTATTAAATCACAAAATCATATGACATCACATGAGTCAAGTGGGAGAATGTTAGAATTAATTTAATTAATTCATTCCATTATGTGACTCATGTGAAATATAATAATGGGCCCAAATGTGATTTAATAAAATATGAGGACCTATTGGTTATTATGTGAAGTTAGAATAAAATAAAGATAAAATAAAATATTAACTTACGGTAACCAACTTGATGGACGTTGGTTAATTGAATGGAATAAGGGTTCTGTCTCTGGTCATAAAGTTTTTCACGGTAAAACATCAAGAAAGCGAAGCGTGAGAAGAAAAAGAAAGACAAAGAGATAGATTGGGAAAAAGGAGATTGGAGAACGAGAAGATTAAAGAATAGATTTTCATGGATCAAGGTTAGTTCTCTTATTATGATTCATGTATGTTATGTTGTGAAAATCAATAATCTAAAGATCTTGTAGAGTAGTTTTCCATAATGAATTAAGAACGTAGAAAAACTACATAATGTTTTACATTAATATCACTCTATTATATTTTCTATTAACAAGGTGTGCTTCAAATTAAAAGTTTAAGTCTCTATTGTTTTTTTAGTTCAGAAATGAAATCTCTTTTAATATGAATTCTCAGGACGGGAGAAAGGTGCTATTGTGCTGGAAATGAAGGACACGGGACACTGCTCAGAGAAGAAAATTGATTGGAACAGAAGGCTTGAGAAGCAGTTAATATCAGATGATATTCGCGTTCGTTCAATGCAAAACAGGATAAGAAAACTAGTCTCAAGCAAAAACGTAGAAGCTTCACAAACCCAAATTCCATTAGCTTCTGGTATAAACTTGCAAACCTTAAACTACATTGTGACAATGGGATTGGGAAGCATGAATATGACTGTGATAATTGACACCGGAAGCGACTTGACATGGATCCAATGTGAGCCTTGCATGTCATGTTACAATCAACAAGGACCAATGTTCAAACCTTCTTCCTCCTCTTCCTATCAATCAGTTTCATGCAATTCATCAACCTGCCAATCTCTTCAAATTTCAACAGGAAACACAGGAGCTTGTGGAAGTAATACATCAACTTGTAACTATGTGGTTAACTATGGTGATGGATCCTACACTAATGGTGATCTAGGTGTTGAGCAACTTAGTTTTGGAGGTGTTTCAGTGAGTGATTTTGTATTTGGTTGTGGTAGGAACAACGAAGGTCTGTTTGGAGGAGTCTCTGGCCTTATGGGTTTGGGAAGAAGTTACCTCTCATTAGTGTCTCAAACTAATGCCACATTTGGAGGAGTTTTCTCATACTGCTTACCAACAACAGAAGCAGGTGCATCTGGGTCATTAGTTATGGGTAATGAGTCTTCACTTTTCAAGAATGTTACTCCCATCACTTACACTAGGATGCTTCCAAATCCACAGCTTTCCAACTTATATATTCTCAATCTCACTGGCATAGATGTTGGTGGAGTGGCTTTGCTGGCTCCAAGCTTTGGCAGTGGCGGAGTTTTGATTGATTCTGGCACAGTGATAACAAGATTGCCCTCATTTGTGTACAAGGCTTTGAAGGCAGAATTCTTGAAACAGTTCACTGGCTTTCCTTCAGCACCAGGGTTTTCAATTTTGGATACTTGTTTCAATCTCACTGGATATGATGAAGTGAGCATACCTACCATAAATATGCATTTTGAGGACAATGCTGAGCTGAAGGTGGATGCAACTGGCACATTCTATGTGGTGAAAGAGGATGCTTCCCAAGTTTGCTTGGCCATTGCAAGTCTTTCTGATACATATGACACTGTTATTATAGGGAATTATCAACAAAGAAACCAAAGGGTAATATATGATACCAAACAATCCAAAGTGGGATTTGCTGGGGAACAATGCAGTTTCTCTTGAATAGGGAAATTTGATAGCATAATAGATGTCATTATGGAGGATGCAATTCCAGGCTTCAGTAATAGCCTCAGCACAACCTTCCATTTTTTTTTCTTTTATTTTTCAATTAAATAGAAAAATGAAAAGAAGAAAACAAAAACAAGATGGAAGGTTTGACTGATACTATGTATAAATATCAAGAATCACTAGTACCAAGAGTGTCATTTAACATTTATGAGGGTTTACCTTGATATATCACTGTATTTTAAGCTTCAATTTATGAAACTAAGGAATGTTTGAATTGTAAATGTATTCATTCATTCCCTTGGTATAAACATATTGTAATGCTGCACTTCATCAGAAAATGAAGCTATACTATATCTTCATTGATCATTGGATTCTTTATAATTTTCAAACAAGCAATGTTTTTCTTAATTACAATGTTAAGAAGCTGTTTATTGTTCAGCAAATGAGTGAGTCTAAACTGGTGTTTTAGTAAACAGAATTTTTGTTTTTAACTAAATTATTATTTCTAATGCAGGATTGATCTCTTTTTATATCTTTATATATAATGTTAATGAAAATAGGTTGATGGCCTTTCTTAAATAGGTGAGGTTAAATAAAAACATATCACCTAAATTAAATTAATCTTATTGATCAGGTTCGATTAAGTTATAATTTACTTAAACTTAATGTATATTAGTTTTTATAAAATAATAATTATTTTTTAAATAAAAATAAAATAATATATATATATATATATTATAAATTAATTTAATAAAAATTCATTTATTAAGAATAAATTTTTAATAATTACTTATTTAAAGATTTAATGATTAAAATTAATTTTTATTTTAAATTAATAAATTTAAAAAATAATAATAAATAATAAATTTTTAATTCTTATTTTAAGATTAAATGAATTTACTTTTTTATAATTTATATATTAAATTATTATATTTTAAATAAAAAATAAGCTTATTAATATAATTTAAATTTTTAAAAAACTATTTAAATATTTTTTAATTAATTATTTTGGTACGATACATTGATAACATTTTTTAATTTTTAATCAGACTAAAATGAATCTTTAGTTCATTAATATAATATAAAATTTTAAAATATAAGTGAAATTAAACGATTTTTTTATATAATTATAATTATCGCTCTTCTATTTTGGGTTTGTGTTTGAAATATCAAAATTTATTTGTCATACTTTAATAAACTTAAATTATTTTCAAAAATATAATTTAGTTTTCAAAAGTATCTTAAGCTAAAATATACTAATAACGAATACGATAATAATCAATATAATAATAGTGATAACCATTAATTATAATCAAAACACCATTATTTATACATATTATAATTATAATAAATTAATTATTTTAATATTAAATAAAAAAATGCATTAACATATATTTAAATAAATATGAACAATTTAAAATATAAAGCCCTTCGAATTTGTTATGGTAAGGAAACGAGAAATAGAAGAAGAATAAAAAAATAGTATATAATAAATTAAAAAGAAAAAATAAATAAAAAATTCAATCCCTCTTTATAGCTATCCTACTAAACATATTCATTTATTTCGCCAATTTCTCATCCCAACGTTCTAATAGTTCGTGAAACTAATCTAAATAAGAAAAATAATTCTGTTCTAGTACAATTTACATGTAAAAAGTATGTAAAATATTTTTTCTTTTTCTGTTCTATTACAAGTATTTTTTCAAATAACCCATGTCAATTCTTAAAATTAAATTATTTCAAATTTAAAAATACATGCATCACCCGCACGCTTTATCATAACTCAATTAAAGTTGAAATTTTACGCTTGAAATATATATAAAAAGACTAAAATACACTTTTATAAGAATTTCTTTATTTGCAAATCAATCACTCAAGTGAGGATCGACAACTACAATGACATTTTGAATGAGGGCAAGTAGAGCAGAAAATGTTGGTTTTGATGTTCATTACCTAACCTTTAATTTAGGCTTTACAGGTGGCAACTTCTATGTAGGACACTAGTAATCAAACACTATGAATAATTTATCGATTTGATATTCAAAATGTTCTAAATAATTTATAAAATCACGAAATATATTCATCAATTTACTAAATTGATGAATATATAGCACTGGGAATATACTTTATTGTGCTTAAAAATTATTTGAAGAATTTTTTTAAAATTATAAAAAGTTGAGTAAACAACTTTTTTAATTCAGGAACCATTTAAAAGAGGGAGAGTAGAAGCTCAAAAATGAATGAATGATTTACTCTCACAAACAGACCTATAGTCATACTATATTCCTTTCAATTTCAACAAAAATTACAAAAAGCCTTAATAAGATTATAGGCACTGGGATAGTTAACATCATAGTCATAGACTATCCTTTTCAATTTCAACAGAAACTACAACCTTTTGAGGAGCATTAAGTTTTTCAAGGGTCCTACAAAGACTATGGCAACCATGAACTGCCCCTCAAGAGTGAACTGTTCATATCACCAAGATGATGACGAAATATTACACACAAGCTGAATTTGACATATACCTTGAGCTCCATACCATGAATAATTTTCATCGGTTGCTATATAATACTGAATAACGGACGGACACTTTTACACAAAAGCTTTTGACTTGGAGGCAAAACTAAAATTGAGATTTGTCCAGACTATCAAAGTAGGGATGATCCAGTGCTGCCTTTGCAGATATTCTCTCAGAAGGGTTATACTTGAGCATTTTCTGCACAAGAAAGGAAATATATTGTTGAAAACGGGGAAAGTAAAGGTGGCATGTAGGCTAGTTATTTAAAGTATATGTAGTACACAAAAAACTCAACAAAGCGAGATAAGCATCATAGACGATACTATGCAATCTGGCTCAATCTAAAAGCTAAATCAGGTGGTATATATGGTATATAAGAAACTCCAACCAAGTGAGATAAGTGACATAGATTATATGATGTAATTCGGCTCAATATAACAAACTCCAACCATAGAAATAAGCTACATATAAGATGATACGATGGAATTGAGATCACTCTAAAAACTAATTCAAGTATACTTATTATGAATTTTATTTAATATTTTTCTTGAACTCCTTCTACCCACTTTTATAGGACTAGAATACATGCCACCCAAAATTAAAATGGAATTATGATATTTTAAGTATTAAGGTATATAAATAACCCTAAATTGGCTTCAAATTTTACTTTTGGGCACCTGATATCCATGAGGGTTCACCCAGCCCGGTTTTCAGCATTCCTTTTTATTTCACCTAAAATTCAATTTATCAATACATATAACATTGAGATTACTTCACAGCCAGGCAAAAGATAGTGAGACAAAAATGCAGCAGATCACCTATGTCACATTGACAAAGGCAGTCAAAGTCCGGTCCTGTCTTTTCCAATTCAAATGCAAAGTCAAACATACTTGATTATGTTTGGATGGTTAAGGAACAAAGAATAATACATTAGGAAGCATTTATCTGGTCACTGGAAGTTCTGTTGTAGAAATATTTATGTGTTTATTTATGTGAAGGACTTGAGGGTTATGAATTCAGAAGCATAAATCATTCGAGTTAAAATACAAATACTAACCGAGAGAAGGTCCACTCCATCAGGTCCTAAGGTAGGTACATTCCTTGACAAATTCTGAGGTTCCCACCGCGGGTACACATGCCAATCACGCAGAGAAGTAACTCCTGGCCATTGCTCCTCCGTTGGAGTCCCCAACATCCTTGAAGGATCAATAATTAGCAAACAGCATAATTGAAGCAACAAACAAAGTATGAAAAGACAGATAAGTAATGTGACGGACCACTAATATTCTATTTATTCACAATAAAAAATAAAAACAAAAAGTTTTCAAACATACTTGAATATGTGCATTAGCTGCTGGAACTCAGAATCCCCAGGAAAAAGCGCTTGCCTTCTCACCATTTCAGCTGCACAGAAACAGCCACAGGTCGAGGAATTTACTAGGGCGTGTTTGGATACACAGTAGATAATCCAGAATCATGATATTTAAATACTAGTTAATATAATATTAGGCATGAAATAAACAACATGTTTGGTTCCATATATTTCCGTATGTGATTAGTTAAACTAGTTCTACTTTCAAGCAAAACTAACATGGTTTTTCTCTGAGTATGTTATTTTAAAATTACATTTCTACCTTCCATTTTCACCATATTTTATTCTACATTTTTATTCCCCAAAGGAGGTAATAGATATTTGAATATTTCCATATGAAAAATTATAGTCTAATTACACATTTAACTTCCATTTTATTTATTTTTTATTTTCGTTATTGTAGATTTTGAAAAATACTCCAGTAAATACTCAACTTAGCCAAACACTTCTTTGAAAAAAACCACGAACAAGGTTGTGTTTGTTTCTAGTTATCTAGAAAGATTCCCAATAATACAAAATACTCATTTTAGTCCTACTTCCTACTCCCATAACAATAAAGGATGAGTATCTGCATTCACATAAGAATGAAAGTTATTTTCTATAAATAATACTTACCCTTCCAAACTTTTCATTAATTTCTTCTTTTATTTTAATTTTCCAAATTTTTAATTAAATAAACTTAATATTTTAAAAATATACTAAATATCAAACATATGTTCACAAAATTTCCCCGGACATATATATATTAGCAATATGATTATAATTTTCGATCATACAATTTTAACCCCTGGAAAGAAATTCCCCAACATTGGTACCTACTTATATGCCTATATACAGGCATACAGATTCATTTCAAAATCCCTTTTGCAAACATCCACTCATCCAAGCTCCAAATACACACAAAATAATTAGAATAAAGAGAGTGAGAGGTGTGGACTGACCAAAGATGCAGCCAACAGACCAGATATCAACCCCGGTGGAGTAATGCGTGGAGCCAAGGAGAACCTCAGGCGCTCTGTACCAAAGAGTAACAATCTCATGCGTGTAGCTCTTGAGAGGAACGGTGAAGGCGCGGCCGAGGCCCAGATCAGCGATCTTGAGAATCCCCTTCTGCTGGTCGAGGAGAAGGTTCTGGGGCTTGAGATCGCGGTGGAGGACACCATGGCTATGGCAGTGCGCCACGCCCTTGCAGAGCTGGAACAGAAAACTCTGAATACGTTGAGGAGGGAGGGGCCTAGGGTTAGGGCCCTTGCGATGGGAATCGATAAACTTCTTGAGGTCGGTGTCAAGGTACTCGAAGACAAGGTAGAGGATGGGTTTGGTGAGGGGGTTGGAGGAGGCCTTGTGAGCCTTGGGAACCTTGTCGACATGTTCGACGGCAAGGAGACGCACGATGTAGATGGATTGGGAGAGGAGTTGCAGGAGCGAGACCTCTCGTAGGGCCGTCGGAGGTACACCCTCCTCGTCCATCTCCAGCCGCGTCTTCTTCAGCGCCACCACGTTGCCGCTAGCTTTCTCACGTGCCTTGTACACTTTCCCGTAGGTTCCTTCTCCCACCTTCTCCAGTTTCTCATACTTCTCCATTTCCGTTACACTTCACAACAACAACAATCCTGACATTAGCTACTCACATCATCGTGGATGGTGCATTTCATCAAACAAATAATGAACAGATTATACAATTTGAATTGGTAGAGATGAGAGAGTGAAGACAAACCTGAAAAGAGTGTTGACAATGAGAAGAGAATGTGAGGGAGGGGCGTTGGGAGAATAGATTAGGGCACAGGATTGGAGGAGGAAGGGTAATTTGAATGAAATGGATGAAGAGTTGGGAAACGGTAATGTGACAGATCTAGTTTTAGACGCGCCATTTCGTTTTTCAAATTTTCTTTTTCACTCTTTTATTTTAATTATTTTTAGTTTTACTTTTCTTCCTTTATTTAGTTTTTTCAAATTTATTCTTCACCCCTTATAAATTTAAGTATAAAATGACAAAAGTGACCTCACCTAGCAATATACATAAAAAAAAATCAAGTTGATGTGTGACTAGAATCAATTGAAAAGTGTGATAGTTTTTTAAAATATATGTTCTAATTATACAATTAATGTTTATAATTAGATAGACGAATTTTTTTATAATCTAAAATAGATAATGTAGATAATATTGTAATGCATTTAATTATTTATAAAAAAATATGATAATAATATTTATTATTAAAAAATATACAACATTACAAATTATATATATATATATATATATATATTCTCCTTAAATATTTAAGAGTTTTAATAAGTTTATTTTTTCATATATGATATTTTGGAATTTATTCTTTATTATTATTTATAACTCTGTCAACCTTTGGAAAGAATGTATTTAATAATTAATTACTTATTATTTGATCTGTCATTAGTAATTAGTAATTTTAAGATGAAATTTTAAACATAAGAAGAAAAAAAATCTATTATTATATAAAGATGTTAATTGTTGTAATAATTATTCCAAAAAGTTATACCAATATCATTTCTAACTTGTTTCATAATTTTGCTCAGATAATAATAATTAAAACATTAAAGTTTTTTGTTCTGGAGTGATTGAATAAAATTTATCTAAAAATTAAAAAAATGATAGCAAAACAAGATAATAAAATAAATGTGCATAATTAACATATATATAAAATTTAATCATTATTTTTTTAATTATTAATTTTGATTATATTTTATCTTTCGGTCTAAAGTCATTGGTGTTGTAGTTGAAATGGGGCTGAATCCTTATACTAAAAAGAAGAAAAAAATATGTTAGAGAAAATACCATCTAGGGTAGATTGTTGTTGTTAATTATTTTCTATTACAGAATAAATTTGAGATAATAAAAAAAACAAAAAAAGATAAATAAAATAAAAATAAATTTATTTGATCAGGAAAAGGTAAAATATTTATAATTTAGTTCATTGATTTAAAATAATAAAAAATATATATTAATCAGATAAATTAATGAATTAGTAAAGTATCTTTGTTTAGATTTTAATAAAAAAATTATGAATTAAAAATGAGTAATTATTTTTTTAAATTAAAATAATATTAAAAATTTATGAAAGTAATTTTATTATATAAAACCATACAATTCTAAATTTTATTTAAAAAAATATAAAAGTTTAGAATTGTTCACATTATTTCTTCTCTCCCATTTTTGTTTCTTATTTTTGTATTTTTTTTTTTACCTCAGTCTAATTAAATGTCATAAGCATGGATAATCATTAAGTTTTTTTTTTCATTGTGATATACAGAATTATTTTTAGCTAATTTTAATTAGAGTTTTTTTTATCAACATCACTAAAATTTAATCTTGATAATAATATTTCTAAATTAAAAATAAGAATTATTTATATTAATATTTATTAAAGTTTGCTCAATCAATATTAGTAGAATTATTTTTTTATAAATGTCGACAATTTTTTTTATTAAAGTTGATAGTAGATTTTTTTTTTTATATCCGTGGGATTTTTTTACCTTAGGAATGTTATTTTGTAATATTTGTTGTATTTAATATTTCTATTTGATAATAATTTATTTTTTTTTTAAATTAAAATTTAATAAATTTTAATTATACTATAACAAAATATTTAAAAATTAAATATATTTTTTCGATTTTTACAGTTGAAAAACAAGAGACCACAAAGGATACTGCGGCTTAGTTAGGGTTTATGAGCTGAAGAAGACGACAACAACAGAGAGTACAATTGTTTGGGAAGATGGGAAGAAGAAACGGTGGAGGTAGATCATTGCAGCAAACCCTCCGCCGCCGTCTTGACACCTGCAAGTCCAAATACTCCACCGCCGAAGAAATAGCAAACCATCTGCGCTCAACTTACCCCGATTACCACCGAACTAAACACCAAACCCTGATTCGATTTGTTCAGGAAGCGCTTCATTCCACCAACAAGCTTAATCACAGTCCCACGCCCAAGCATTCCGATGACGATGTCGACGATGGAGAATCCCGAAGCGCATCTCGAAAGCGTCGGAAGAAAATCGACGAGGGTGAAGAGAGGTTGCAAAAGATGGAAGCCTTACACGTGCGAAGTAGGGTGCAGAGTCCTTCGTCATCGTCCTCTGTTTCGGAGAGTGATGATGAGGAAACTGTGTCGACGTCGGAGGACGCTATTTACGGGGAGAAGGTGGAACCTGAATTTGATTTGATGAAGACATTGCTAAGGAGGTCGTATGCGCCAAAGAGGTTGGTGGAGGAGGAAAAAAACGTTGAATTGGAGGTGGATAATAAGGGCACTGCTACCAATACTCTTGTGAATGAGGAGATAGGGAACAGCAGTAAGGTCACTCTTGTGAATGAGGAGAAGAAGGAATCTGGTCGTTCCAATGGTGAGGTGAAGAGGAAGGATGGACCGACGTTTAAGGATTTGGGTGGGATGAAAGAGGTTTTGGAAGAATTAAAGATGGAAGTGATCGTACCTCTGTTTCATCCCCAGTTGCCTAGACAGTTAGGAGTGAGACCAATTACTGGCATTTTGTTGCATGGACCACCTGGCTGTGGAAAGACCAAACTTGCTCATGCTATAGCCAATGAGACTGGTCTTCCTTTTTACCAAATTTCAGCCACGGAAGTTGTTTCTGGAGTCTCAGGTATTTTGGTAACACTTGCATAATTTGTCTGCAATTTTTGTAGTTCATGACCGCACATACATAATCATTTTTAGAATGCAGTTTTAAATAATGTTAATAATGCTGAGTGTTTGTCTTTTGTCCTGAGGGGTTAGATTCATTGTTTTTAATGTTACTCTCAATTTGGAGTGTGTGAAATGTTGGTCTCGTTTGTAATAAGGTGCATCCGAAGAAAATTTTAGAGTTTTTCGCCAAAGCATATAGAACTCATGAAGTGCATAACAGCACATGCATAATGTTTTTTAGAATGGCATTTTAAATAATGCAAAGTGTCTGTGTTTTGTACTGATGGGTTAGATTCATTGCTTTCAATACTACTCTCAAATTGGATTATGTGAAATATTGGTCTCTCTTGTGGTTAGGTGCATCTGAAGAAAATATTAGAGATCTTTTCGCTAAAGCATATAGAACTGCACCTTCAATAGTCTTTATTGATGAAATTGATGCAATTGCTTCTAAGAGAGAAAATTTGCAGCGAGAGATGGAGAAACGTATTGTCACACAATTAATGACTTGCATGGATCAATCAAATAGGCTTGATGATTGTGGTCCCAGTTATGTTCTTGTGATTGGTGCTACAAATAGGCCTGATGCGGTTGACTCTGCCTTGCGAAGGCCGGGTCGGTTTGATAGGGAAATTATCATTAAAAATCCTGATGAATCTGCTAGGGAGGAGATTCTGTCTGTACTTATTTCCAATCTTAGATTTAAAGGCTTATTTGATCTACACAAAATAGCCAGAGCAACCCCAGGATTTGTTGGTGCTGATTTAGCAGCTCTAGTTAACAAGGCTGGTAATCTAGCAATGAAGAGAATAATCGATGAAAGGAGACATGAATTATGTGAAGATCTTGAGTATGCTGAAGACTGGTGGAGAAAACCTTGGTCGGCTGAAGAAATAGAGAACCTTACCATCAAAATGTCTGATTTTGAGGTGATTTAGATTGTATACATGAGAGCCTTTTTCTCTAGTTGTGTCGCATGTCATCGCATCTACATGTTAAACTCAGTTTTTACACTCTTATGGAGAATATCTTATTCTCAAGCACTTCTTGCTAATAAATTCTTGTCTTTATATTGTCTTCGATTTTCCTCTAACATTTTGATTCATAAAAGATAATGATTATATATATATATATATATATATATATATATATATATATATCTGGACATTTATGCAGGAAGCAGCCAAAAAGGTGCAACCTTCCTTAAGAAGAGAAGGATTTTCTACCATTCCTAATGTAAAATGGGAAGATGTTGGGGGACTTGACCTTTTAAGAAAGGAGTTTGAACGATACATTATAAGGCGTATAAAATATCCTGAAGATTATGAGGTAAATTTTAGCACTACACTCTTTAATATCGCAGTTCCTGTTGAATTTAATCTCCTTTCTATTTGCTTTGTTTTTTACTATTATAAATGGTTTATTTTTTCACATTACCAAAATGTCTCACTGAAATTTATGTGCAATTGTGATTGGATCAATATTTCTGCATCTCTGTTCTTGTTCATGGTTTTGAGTAGCTCTGATAATGTTAGGAACCAATTGAAAGGTTTGGAACTTGAGTACCACATAGGAAGTATGGATTATAACAAGGGGTTATCAGGCCTTGGGTTGTCATATTGAAACAGTTAGTGGTTTATGTGTGGTTTTCCCTTGGTACAGATGATAACATGTCTCTTTGAATTTGATTCTTGAAACATGGCTGATATAGTGGTGTTCTTCATGCACACAAACTGTGCTGATATAGTGGTGTTCTTCATGCACACAAACTGTTTGATGAAAGGGTCTGCATGCCTTGGCTTTGCTCAATATTTTTTGGTTCCTGAATCTATAATATGCAAATTTGTATATATGGATGAAATTTTGTGTTCTTGAGTACTTCTTACACATACCCGTAAGTTGGTCCTGTTTAATATTCCTTTATTTCCTCCCTAAGCTGACAACGCTCACTTCCTTCCCTTTATTATTGAGCAGAATTGTGATGGAATAGGCTGACATGGTGTTAATAGTGTAAATTTTAGAATTTTCTTCTTAACATGAAGGCAAATGATTGGTCAGATTTGTCTTTCAAGCTAGAGAGTTACTATGGCATAGGGATGCATGGGATAATTGATAGTGGGTATTACACTAATCTAGATCAGCCTTACCATTAGATGCCCTTCCTTATATTAAATATTCACAAAATCTCTGATCAATATTTAATAATTTGGTAGCTGTATGTCTAAATTCTCTTGATAAGTTTCATGTTCTTTTTCTAACACTTGGTCTTTCATTTTTGCCCTTGCCATTTGAAGAAAAATTATAGGAAATTGTATATCACTGGTTGATAACTATTCTTAGATTCATTTATTTTAGGGACTTGGAGTTGATCTCGAGACCGGATTTTTGCTTTATGGACCTCCTGGTTGTGGTAAAACACTAATAGCTAAAGCTGTTGCTAATGAGGCAGGGGCTAATTTTATCCATATTAAGGTCTGTCTAAATACTCTACTCATTTCTCATTACTTTTGGTCATTTAGTTTTGAATACATACTTCTATGAACAATTAAAGTGCTTTTGTGGATGTTCAGGGTCCTGAACTTTTAAATAAATACGTTGGAGAGAGTGAACTTGCAGTTCGATCATTGTTTACCCGTGCAAGGACATGTGCACCTTGTATACTTTTTTTCGATGAGGTTTGTTTGTGATTCTCTTCTTAATAGTGTTAGTTGACTCAAATATTTTGTCATGACATGCCGATTTCAGATTGTGAACTATATCAAATAATATTGTCTAGAATCTTCTTTCTTTGAAGGAACTATAATGCAGTTTGGTTCTGTTCCTTTAAGTATTGTTAAGTAAATCTCTTTATTCTCACATTAGTGGTCATGGGTGTTTAGTGCTTAATTAGCAAACTAGTTATGTTTAACACCAGTATGAGTATTTATTATTAATGTCTTTGATCCACGAAGGGTTCAAACAACTTCTAAATTGCCAAAGTTTATTTTTATGTCATTTTCAGATCGATGCTTTGACAACAAATCGTGGTAAGGAAGGTGGTTGGGTTATTGAAAGACTATTGAACCAGGTTAAATGCTTGATGGTTTTGGAATGAGAAATGCATAGCCATTTTAACTCATAGCAAGATGGGAAAATGACAGTAATATTAATTTGCAGTTGCTTATTGAGTTGGATGGCGCAGAGCATCGCCGAGGTGTTTTTGTGATTGGCGCTACAAATAGGTACATCTTATGCACCATAACTATTATCCCATACTTATTTTACATCATCACATTATGTTCAAGTCAGATTCTCATTTTTGCAGGCCTGAAGTGATGGATCGTGCCGTCCTACGGCCTGGTAGATTTGGTAAACATCTTTACGTCCCACTTCCAAACGCAGACCAGCGAGTTTTGATATTAAAAGCTCTTGCAAGGAAGAAGGCTGTTGATGCTAGTGTAGATTTGAGTGCCATTGCAAGAATGGAAGCTTGTGAAAATTTAAGTGGCGCCGATCTTGCTGCATTGGTTTGTCTCTGTTCTTTATGGATGTTGTCTATTTCATTTAGTTGTGTGTATATGTGTATGCTTGTTTGATTATTGGTGGTTTGTCTCTGTTCTTTCTGTTTCATCCCGTTGTGTGTATATGCTTATGCTTGCATGATTTCGGCTACAAAAAAAGTTAGGGCTACAGGAAAGTGGGGAGTCTTTTGGAAGAGATTCTGATTTTATTGACTTCACAGATAAATGAAGCAGCGATGGCTGCTCTTGAAGAGACAGGTTGCGATACATCGATGCCCATCAAAAAAACCATCAAGACTAATCATTTTCTGGTAGCATTGAGTAAAATTTCGGCATCTGTGTCCGACAAGGTATGTTTTTTCCTCCATTTTGGCTTAGGTGAAATATTCATCTTTAATAATAAATTAATTATAGAAATTTATTTCTATTTTTGGAACAGCAAAAGCAGCACTATCACCATTTGTCAGAGAACTTTAAAGCAGCATGAACAGCATGACATTGATATTATTTGTTAGCAAGCATACCCCATCAAAATAGGTGAAAGAAATCATTTATATTAACATCATGTAGGTAGAGGATTTGAGATGTACGTGACGTGCATGTTTTCTGCAACCATTATGTCATTTTTGGCTAATGGTTACAATTTATGGTTCACTTCAGCCATTTTTTTTGTAAACAATCTTACTAATAAGAGGGATGATTATGATTGGTTACGTGGTTGAATTATTTCTTTATTAATGGCTTGACAGTGAAAATTATTATTTCATAGTGAAAATAGGATTACATATTTGGAATATCAATCTTAGTTAGATGTTTACTTGTACCAACAATTAAAATTTGAAAAAATATCTTCATAAATTTTAATGTATAATAACTGAAAAAGAGTGATAATTGTAGACAAGACATTACAAATTGAATTTAAACATAAAAAAAAATTCAATTTAATAATTTACTCACTCTTAAGAAAATATACCTTCAAATAAGTAATCAAATGAATTTTATTTATACATGTATGCAAGGTATATACATTTTTACCGAAATAATGGGTGATCAAATAGATCGCATTTTTATTTTTTATTTGTATTTTTGTAACGTGTTATTTCATTATTTGTTTACCTAATAATAATATACTATGTAAGCGGGTTTTCATATTTTATGAACAATAGTAAGTATAACTTGCTCATTTTTTTATTTTTTTTTTAAAACAATATTATGAATATAGTGGTTGTTATTACCGAAATAAAATAACGTGAATAAAAGCGATATGTTATAATATTGATCATTAGTTTTTTTTATATTATAATAATCTATAACTTCAAAAAATACTTACAATAATATTGACCATTAGGTTTTTTTTTATATTATAATAATCTATAACTGTCAATATTTTCTTTTACAGTCATTTAATTGATGAAGGTAATCATCTTACTTTGATAGATAAGCCTGCAATATTAAATCAATTAGGATATTGAAATTGCTAGATGCTATTGGTTTTTAGATATGACAAGTGTTAGTTTTATTTTTCAAAGTAGATATTAATTTTTCAAAAGTTGTTAAGTATTTTTATTATCTGTAGATAGACATGTTTATGACATGTGTTAATTATTAATATTATTGTAAAATGTTTGATTTGAGATATCATTTATAAATATTAAAATTTAAAAAATTGAGTGGCACTGGATCATGAATAAATAGATTAATTTATGTATTAGCGTATCATATGTGTTATATTTTACATGAAAATAGATTATGTAGATGATAAAACATGAATTGAGATTTTTAAGTTAGAAGAATTATTTAATTTATTTTTAAATATACATATCTATAATAAAGAGACTTTATTTATGATATTATATTATATATAAATAAATATATGATTTATATCTTTTATTTATTTAATTGCTAATATTAGAGTTGTTATATTTAAATCTCAATTTAGATACAGAGAAAGAGAGATATATGGAGAGAGCTAAAAATAAAATTTAAAGTTTAATAAAAAAACATTTAATATTTATTATAAGTATTAGAAGAAAATATGAATAGTTAAAACAAAACAAAAACGCGTGGAGAGAATAATGGTTGAGGATTCAGGTTTCGAGAAAATTAAACCTAGTTATGAGAAGATTAAATATTTTAAATTAAAAATAACTTCAAAATTATGTCTAATTCTTATAAAATTAAATTTTTGTAATACATGTTTTTTAAATATATTAAAATATAAATTATTAAATACATATTTATAATTTAATTATTGAATTTATTAAAATTATATTTTATATAAAACTAATTATTTTCATATAAATGTAAAAAAAATTATCAATATAATGTAATATTTGACTGAGTTAAAATAATATTAATACTAATTTTTTATATCAAGCTTTATAATTTGATCAAAAAAATTATTTTATATTTATGTACGAGTCTGTCCTTATATGTTCACAAGTATATGTATTGATAAATAAATTCAATCTATAAGTTGATAATAAGAATAATAATAATAAATATATATATATATATATATATATTTAATTTAATTATTTAAAGAAAATTATTGATCAATTTAAAATTTATAAAAACTTTATTGGGTTAAACCTATTTAATTGACATGCTAATATGAAAAAAAATAGCATTCAATAGTTTTTATCTATTATATGAGTACATGTTTTCACACTCCATATGAATTCTTTTAGAGAAAAGATAATATTTGAAGGGATAAAAAAAAAGGAACGATACCGACCAAAACAATACAAAAATTTAAAACATTAAAAACATGTTTTAATGTCTATTAAAAATAGTTGTTTTGCAGACTTAAATAAATATTTTCTGTATTATTTTATTTTTATATTATTAACTCAAAATATAAAATTACAATTATAATATAAATGGATAAAACTCTAAATTAAAATAAAATAATTTAAGCAGATTTTTTTTTCACTCTCTTCGTAAACTTCTTTAAAAAATATTTACAATATATATTCCTTAAATATGATTATTATAAAATTTAGAATCCATAAATATTATATACAATTTGAAAACATCTAAAATAGGATTATTGTAATTAAAATAATTTATGGGATGTATAAAATGATTTTAATAATAAAAGTGAGAATAGACAAACAAAAACATAATGGAGTCCCTTGGAGACAGCCACAATAAATAAATAAATAAACAACTTTTTTTTTTTCGTCAAAACATGTTGCAATTGAATCGGACTAAAATTTGTAAAAAAATTATATATAACTATAATAATTAAATATTTTTTAAATTTCAGATAAATTTAATTTTGACCACTCATGTTAAAAAAATATATTTTTTAGTTTGTGAATATATATATATATATATATATATATTTAAATATGAATTTAAAAAACTAAATTAATTTTTAGAATTATATTTAATACTTAAACTTTAATGTGTAAGTGAAAAAATTATAATTTTAAAATATGAAAGATTAAAATAAATTTTTAATTTAAAATTTAATCTAAAAGGATTAAAAATAAAATTAAATAAACATAAAAATTTACTTATTTTCTGTTTTAAAATGAGGGAATATTATTGCAAATTCACTCTGTCATTGATTATGTTAGCTAAACTGCTGGATCCAGGTTCATGTGACCCTATTGACTTTTTTTTTTTGTTTAGAAAAGAATAGGGTAGCCAACCAGAAGCACTTTTACATCAATTGCATACACTTAAAATGCAAAAAAGAGGAAAAAATAAAAATGTACTTAAATAATTTTATCAATAAATATTTATATAAGTTTTTTTGCTAAACCAAAAATTGTTTACAAATAATTTTGATTTATAAAAAAAGTTTTATTCTTTTTCTTTTAAACAGTTATGAAAATACTATAAAAGCATTAATGATGTGATATGAAAAGTAAAACATAATAAATATTAATGGAGTGTTTATAGAAGATGAATACCTTTTTCTTTGCTTAAGAATCTCTGCTCAACTACTAACTGCTCCAGTATAACCAGGAAGAAAGTAAAATGTTATATAAAAATATTATTGAATTATGAAAGATATAGTGAGAGAAATAAAGGAATAAACCTACTTTTTCATTCTCCTCCACTATTTCTATTAATTAATGCCATTCTTATTGGATGACTCGGTCATATTTATATCCCTCTTCTCTTCCCCTTCACTCTTGAACTGTATGCACTCCAGTGGTCCTCTTTTCTCTGCTCTTCTGAGTTTTCATGGCCAAAAAATCGCAGAAAACGCTCAAGAACACTGACACCGACACCACTGTCAAACGCACACGCAAAACCGTTCCAAGAGACTCACCTCCACAACGAAGCTCAATCTATAGGGGTGTCACAAGGTTAACTATACTTGTTGCTATTGTACACTAAATCCAGATCTATCTCAACATTTTCTTTGTTTCATTTTCTTTAACTGTTCTTTCGCATGTTTAATGATGTTGTTTTCTCAAATGGGTGAGTTTGTTTGCATGCATGCGGTTTTTGCAGACATCGTTGGACTGGTCGGTATGAAGCTCATTTGTGGGACAAGAATTGCTGGAATGAGTCACAGAGCAAGAAAGGGAAACAAGGTTTGTTCATTGGTTCATTACTTTGCTCTATCTTATGTGCATATTTTCATTTTAAGTTTTTTACTTTCTTTACTCATTGTATGATTTATTGTCATGTTCACTGTGTTCTGGGGATGGAAAACAACTTGATGGAAGCAGTGTATCTAGGTATGATTTGAGTCTGGTTTTGAATATCAAAAACCTTAATTGATTTATCTATATTTTTCATCATTTCCTTTTTCTTAATTTGGCATCGAACAATGATTGCATCAAAGTTTGTTTCTCAGGGGCTTATGATGATGAAGAAGCAGCTGCACGGGCCTATGATTTAGCAGCATTAAAGTATTGGGGACAAGATACTATTCTCAATTTCCCAGTACTTCTTTTCATCTTAGTCTCACATAATATTTTGATAAATTGTGTTTATGGTTCATGACTCAGACTGTGAGTGTTTTTGGTCTTAGTTAACAAATTATGAGGAGAAGCTCAAGGAAATGGAGGGTCAGTCAAAGGAAGAATACATTGGATCCTTGAGAAGGTTAATCCATTCATTTTTACTCATATTAGTAGATAATTTCTGAAACTTTTTCTAATGTTCAATTTTCATTATGCAGAAAAAGCAGTGGGTTCTCTAGAGGAGTTTCAAAATACAGAGGCGTTGCAAGGTACTTAAACTTTGCTCTGTTTTGTTGGAAAATGCTATCTTTGGCAAATACAAAAGATTTTGCAGCATTTGAATAGATAATGGTCAACAAAATAAAATCATTCCTATATTTGTTGACTATATTAGTTTAAAAGAAATTAAAGTAGAAGCTCATCTAATAACAAGTCAATCTATTAAGAGAAGTGAAGAGATAAATAGTATAAATTATATAGAATATTTATTATTTATTTGAAGTACAATAAATGCAATTTTGGGTTATAGTTTGTAGGCAGAATTTAATATTCT